AGGTTAGGTTGGCCAGATTTGGCTTGGTTGCGGATACTGTCTGTGTTTTGTGTGGTTCGGACCCTGAATCTCGTGATCATCTCTTTATTGCTTGCTTCTTTGCTAAGGAAGTCTGGAGGACTATCTTAGCCTCATGTGGGGTTTGTCATGATGAGCAAAACTGGGATGACTGCCTCAGTTGGTTGGTTGCTAACCTGAAAGGCAAATCCCTCAGAGTGCAGATCCTCAAGCTGGCTTGGACGGGTTTCTTATACTTCATTTGGAAGGAGCGTAACCATAGATGTTTAGGGGACATGCTTGTTCAGTTGACACAGTTGTATATAGAATTAAAGAAGCTGTAAAAATTAAGCTGTATAGGTTCCGTACTCATAGGATTGATGAGGCCAATAGGTTTTTGTTTACTAATTGGGGTCTGATCTAGTTGTTGATTGTTCCTTGTAGCAGCTATGCTGTTTTCTTTGGATGAATATAATTACTTATCCAAAAAAAAAAAAAGAATGAAATTAAGTGAAATTATTTCTTAATAAATTTTGATTTAATTGATAAAACTTGCGGAAGATTTTGCTATTAGATGGATTGGAAAACCTTATCATTTATTGTTTGCCTAACAATTTTATTAATATGGGATGTGATTAGTATATACATATAGTTTGGGATGAAATTAAAATGTTAAAACATTTTAGAGATCAATTTAGAATGAAGGACATAGTTTAAGGATGAACTAAAATGTTCATTGGGGATAAATTTAGAAAGATAATCATAATTTAAGGATGAAATTAGAATACTTAAAAATTTAAAGACTAATTTAATATTATTGATTTGAGAAATAATCTTAAATATTATTTTCATGACAAGTGATGCATAACATCATCCGTGAAACAACATAACGTGGAATGTGAAGATCCACCATCTAGTAGTTTTCCTAATCTTATCTCTCATCTCTTTCATCCTCTTCCGAACATTACTATCCTGCTCCATCAAACATCTGATTCCTCTCTCTATCCTATCGGCCTTCACAATTTTAACCTCATCATCATGGTTCTTATAATCCATTTTAAGATCAATAGCCAATCCCGATTCTTTCACCAACATAAAAGCATTCAAATTTTGCTCCGCATAAAGCGGCCATACCGCCATCGGCACCCCGAACCATATGCTCTCCAACGTTGAATTCCAACCACAATGCGATACGAACCCTCCGGTCGCCGGATGGCTCAAGATTGCCTTTTGTGGTGCCCAACCGATGACCTTTCCAATCCCAGCCATTCGATCTAAGAACCCTTCCGGCAACACATCAGCCACGTCTTCGTAATCCGTCGGGCTTCCTTTCATGCCCTCTACTTGCTCCCAGATCGTCGTAGGGACCACAAGAATCGATGTCCACTCTGCTCTAGTGCATGGGCGATTTCTGTCACCTGTTCCAAACTGAAACTTCCCATGCTCCCGAAACAGAGGAACACTACCGATGAATGAGGTTGTTCGTCGAGCCATTGCAAGATTGTATCATAATTTTGATGGGTCCCACTTGGATCTGCAAGATCCAATATGGGTCCCACTGGATAAATGGGTGGAATCTGATGCTTACCGTTAGAAAGGGAGTCAACCGCATGGGATTCAAGCTCCGAAAATGTATTTATCAATATCCCCTTCACCTCTCGTAGCCCTCTTGCCATATTAAGGATGAAGAAGTTAACAAGTTCAGGCCTGGACATCATGGATGGAAAAAAATTAGTGGAAACCGGGTTTATATATGACGGAATTGTGAACTCAGTTTCCGAGTCTTTAAACTTGAGAAACTCATCGTTTTGTTCATCGTGTAGAGCTTGAATGTAAAATGCGAAGCCAAGAGCACCAGCCCCCGAACTGAAAAGCGCATAGCTAGGAACGCCAAACTCTTTTGCCAACCCTACGAAAGGAGTTAAAAACATGTCCAGAACAAAACCGGCGAGTCGAGGTGAGCCGGGGACTGAGTTGGAGAGCTCAACTATGTTGGTGACAGCCTCTTTCACAAGTGATCCCTGGGTTTGAGCTAAGCTACTCAAAAACTTGAACTCATCTACGTCTGGGTCAGGTTGAGGGAGGTTGATGAATTTGATGCGGCTGGTGGTGGTGGAGGTTCTATCGGCTGAGAGAGAGTCGATGTAGGCGCAAAATTTTGGGTCGTAGGGTGTCTTGATGGTGAGGATTGTGATGGAGAGGCTGGAATTGAGATGCACTAAAAGCTTAGCCAATTGAACTATGGGTACCAAATGGCCCATCCCAGGCATTGGGATGAACACTAGCTCTGCTTTCTTCGTCATCGGAACGGAACAGGAAAGTAATATGCCCAACACAGAGAAAGCGAGCGATGTTGGTTTGGGATTCGGCTGATGTTAAATTTAAAGCTGAGAGCCGAGAGTCACGGGACTACGTGGGAGATTTTTGTACTTATTTTTGTTATAGGCTATATGCGGCTAATTTAGATGAGTCATATTAATTTGTCATGAAGTACATTTTTTTAATTTTTTTTATTTTTTAAAATAAAATTATTAGTTTTCTAAAAAATCTAAATTTAGATATAATTATTAAGAGATAATTATATTATTTTCTCAGTTTGGGTCAAGTTAAGTGAATATTTTTACCTTAAATTTGAATCTAATTCGATATATTCTCATCTTTTAAAAAATTAGATCTAATTTTTTTATAAAAAACTTATCAAATCGAGTCATAACAAGTTAAAAAAATTAAACAATACAACAAAAATGTTAGATCTATTGTCAACAAATTAAACTATATCAATTCATGCAATAACAAATAGTACTCAATTTTGGAAGGAGATTGCAATTGAAATATAAATGCAAATCGGTCCCAAAAATTAAAATAGATAGCTCAACTACAAATTTCTGATGCAATTGAAATATAAATGCAAATTGATCCCATAAATTAAAATAGATAGTTCAACTACAAATTTATGAGGCAATTGAAATATAAATGCAAATTGGTCTAAAAAATTAATAGCTCAACTACAATTTCTGATACAGTTGAAATATAAATGCAAATCGATCCCAAAAATTAAATTAGATAGCTCAACTACAAATTTCTGATGCAATTGAAATATAAATGTAAATTGGTCCCAAAAATTAATAGCTCAACTACAATTTCTGATACAGTTGAAATATAAATGCAAATTGGTCCCAAAAATTAAAATAGATAGCTCAACTACAAATTTATGATGCAATTGAAGTATCATGCATCAGAAATTTAGATTTTTTTAAAGAAAATCAATAAAGGGAGGGAAGGATGATGTCATTGCTTTGCTGGAGTTACAGGACTGCGTGGGAGATTTTTTCACATCTTTTTGTTATCGGCTATACGTGGTTAATTTAGGCAAGTTTTTAAGCATTTTTTGTAGTTGATTTATATTTTTAGTACGTTTTAATTTTATATGCCAAGGTTATTATCATCTTTATCATGTTTGTTTTTTTAACTTGATTGTGTATAAAATAATTCTTATATAAATTTGTCTGTTACAAATTTGAAAATTTACTTTTTGTCCGGTTCAGCAAAAAGCAATGAAATCAAGTGAACTTGTTTGATTCATTCGTAATAAAACCTGATGTAATTAATTAAATTCATAAAACTTGTGGAAGTTTTTGCTATTAGATGGATTGGAAAACCTTATCCTTTATTGTAGTTTGTCGGTTAGAAACTGGAATTTTGGTACAATTATGGGTTTTACTATCAAAATTTTCAAACAACTTTTTATAAATTATTTCGTATTTGCTTATGGAAAATTGAACAAAATATATACATATCTCGGGAACTAAACATCGTTGGTTTGGGCATGACAGGCTTAGTATCAGTCACTTAGTGTGAAGTATGATGATGTACTTCGTGGCTTAAAGAGTAAAAAGCTCGGCTTCACATGTTTGGCTTGGTTCAAAACAAACCAAACCAAAAATAATTAGGAAACTATATGTATTGAAAAATTAATTTGGGACTTATAGTATTTTTGAAATCGTCACATTTTTGTGACAAATTTCATAAAAATAATAAATAACTGGAATTTGTCGTGTCCTTCATATAATTTTCTTCAAGTCCATATTACGAGTTATATTTTTTAAATACATTTTATAAAATTTGGCATGAAAACATAATAAATTTTATGTATATCATAACAAATGACTTGAGGAACTCAAGGTTTTGCTGATAGTGTACAGCTTGTTTGTAGAATTGGAAATCAGCAGCCGAAGTGAAAAACGCATAGCTCGGAACGCTGAACTCGTCTAGGGAAGGAGTTGAAAATATGTGGAAGCGACGAGTTGAGATACCTAAGGTAGCTGATGGATGTTATGCACGTGGGTTGAAGCAGCTCATGCATGGGAGCTGGAAAGTAACTGACGAGTGCAGTTAGTATGCGTGCTGTTAGGTTGTTAAAGGTTGTTGTAATTCAGCTATAAGTAAGTAGCTTAGGTGATGTGTAAAGCAAGTTAGTTCAATAAAATACTTTCTGGTATTCTTCTTGAGAATTCTAAGTTTTGCATCACTGCAATGCTTAACAAGACCAAGCAACTTTTAATCCTTCAAAACCTACCTAGAGTTCGGTATGAAGGACTGAAGATCTTGTATGTGTATTAAATATAAAATTACAAAAAATTATTGTTCGTACTTTATTTAAAAAATTAGTATAAAATTATTGTCTTATTCTTTATATCTTATCTAAAATCTAAAACTTGGCAGGAAAACAAATTAAGCCAACGCAATACTAGATTTTCCAAAAGCAATGGATCAAGAAATTTCAGGCCAATATTATTAGTGGCTTCAGTCCTCACACCGGAAAACATCTCTCAACAAGATCTTGTAAAATCCCGCGTGGCATAACAACAGCCTCAACATCTGTCGGAAGAAAATCAGAATGGGAATCCACATCCAATGCAACAGCCAATAGATTGCTGCTGACATGTACATTTCCTGATCCACATCAATCTTCTCATCTCCCATTCTCCATTATAATCCAATCCCCCCTTGTAGTCTCCAAATCCTACACTTGCCACCACAACAGAAGTCTAAGCTAATGGCAACCTCCGGCATCCAACAATCTGCTTTCTCCGGCCAAACAGCTTTGAAGCTGTCCAATGAGCTCCTCCGCATGGTCGGTGGCGGCGGTGGCGGCCGCGTTTTCATGCGAAGAACCGTCAAAAGCGTCCCCACCAGTATCTGGTATGTTACATGCAATATATATAATTTATGAGCAAAAAAGACATGAATTTATGTATGTTTGTGATTACTTGAAAACAGGTATGGCCCTGACCGCCCTAAGTACTTGGGTCCATTCTCCGACCAAATCCCATCATACCTGACCGGTGAATTCAATTGCATCAGAAATTGTAGTCGAGCTATTAATTTTTGGGACCAATTTGCATTTATATTTCAATTGCATCAGAAATTTGTAGTTGAACTATCTATTTTAATTTTTGGGACCAATTTGCATTTATATTTCAACTGTATCAGAAATTGTAGTTGAGCTATTAATTTTTGGGACAAATTTGCATTTATATTTCAATTGCATCAGAAATTTGAAGTTGAGCTATCTATCTTAATTTTTGGGACCAATTTACATTTATATTTCAATTGCAATCTCCTTCCAAAATTATTAAGAGATAATTATTAGTTTTCTAAAAAATCTAAATTTAGATATATTTCAAGTGAATATTTTTACCTTAAATTTGAATATAATTCGATATGTTCTCATCCTTTAAAAAATTAGATCTATTTTTTTAAAAAAAAAACTTATCAAATCGAGTCATAACAAGTTAAAAAAATTAAACAATACAACATAAATGTTAGATCTATTGTCAACAAATTAAACTATAACAATTCATGCAATAACAAATAGTACTCATTTTTGGAAGGAGATTGCAATTGAAATATAAATGCAAATCGGTCTCAAAAATTAAAATAGATAACTCAACTACAAATTTCTGATGCAATTGAAATATAAATGCAAATTGGTCCCATAAATTAAAATAGATAGTTCAACTACAAATTTCTGAGGCAATTGAAATATAAATGCAAATTGGTCTCAAAAATTAATAGCTCAACTACAATTTTTGATATAGTTGAAATATAAATGCAAATTGATCCCAAAAATTAAATTAGATAGCTCAACTACAAATTTCTGATGCAATTGAAATATAAATGTAAATTGGTCCCAAAAATTAATAGCTCAACTACAATTTCTGATACAGTTGAAATATAAATGCAAATTGGTCCCAAAAATTAAAATAGATAGCTCAACTACAAATTTCTGATGCAATTGAAGTATCATGCATAAGAAATTTAGATTTTTTTAGAAAATCAATAAAGGGAGGGAAGGATGATGTCATTGCTTTGCTGGAGTTACAGGACTGCGTTGGGGATTTTTGTACATATTTTTGTTATCGGCTATACGTGGTTAATTTAGACAAGTTTTTAAGCGGTTTTTGTAGTTGATTTATATTTTTAGTACGTTTTAATTTTATATGCCAAGGTTATTATCATCTTTATCATGTTTGTTTTTTTAACTTGATTGTGTATAAAATAATTCTTATATAAATTTGTCTGTTACAAATTTGAAAATTTACTTTTTGTCCGTTCAGCAAAAAGCAATGAAATCAAGTGAACATGTTTGATTCATTCGTAATAAAACCCGATGTAATTAATTAAATTCATAAAACTTGTGGAAGTTTTTCTATTAAGAAACAGATATTTCCATGTTCAAGAAACTGGAATTTTTGGTACAATTACGGGTTTTACCATCATAATTTTCGAACAACTTTTATAAATTATTTTGTATTTGCTTATGGAAAATTGAACAAAATATATAAATATCTCGGGAGCTAAAGATTGTTGGTTTGGGCATGACAGGCTTAGTATCAGTCAGTTAGTGTGAAGTATGATGATGTTATATTTTTTTTAAATATGTTTTATAAAACTTGACATGAAAACATAATAAATTTTACGTATATAGTAACAAATGACTTAAATCTCAAAATAAATTTTAAATATTTATATTTTTCGGATCTTAATTTTATCGCCCACAATATTTCTAAAATTTAAGCTCACATCACATGTTTAGCTAAAAAGCAGATAGTGAAAGTTACTTTTTCCTTGGAAGGATTTGAAGGTGCTATAATGAGATGTGTCATAAGATTTTTTTCAAATATTTGAAGTAAATTCGTATATTTAAATTATGATATTATAACTTGAGGAACTCAAGGTTTTGCTGATAGTGTACAGCTTGTTTGTAGAATTGGAAATCAGCAGCCGAAGTGAAAAACGCATAGCTCGGAGCGTTGAACTCGTCTAGGGAAGGAGTTGAAAGCATGTGGAGAACAAAAGCGACGAGTTGAGGTGAGGCAGGAAGGTAGTTGGAGTGCTTAACTATGTTGGCGACGGCAAGTGGCCCCTAGGTTTGAACTAAACTAATAACTTGAAAATATTAATGTCCGATTCAGGTTGAAAGAGGTCCATGTATTTGATACGGCTAGTGGTGGCGGTGAGAGAATCGATGTAGGTATACTTGACGATTCGAAAAAGGATGTATCAACAAAATAAACAAATAAGTATCATCTGAATTTAGAGAGTCAACGTTGAGTTTAATTTTAAATTTTTTATATAATAAAAAAATTACAATAGATAAAATCATTCATTATCTTTATATTAAAATTTGATCTGATTATATTAATTAAATTAATTAATTAATAAAATTAATTCGAGATGAATTGGCTTTAATCTCTCAAATTTAATTTTTTTAATCTTAAATTCAAGGAGTTAGTTTTTTTCACGAAAAATAATTTTAACTACGAATATGACCCCAAATTAAATACCCTTAACAGTCAAATAATTTATCAATTACTAAAATAGTAAATTTAAAGAATTTAATAAATAAAATTAAAAATTAACAGGTCAAAGTAACATTTAATTTTCTTTTATTAAGCCTAATTAAGATTTGATCAATGTGGGTATTGTGATCACAATCATAATGAAAAGAAAAAGAGGCTGATCTTTTTTCCCCAAAAAATTAGAATAGTGGAACAATAGTGAAAATAGCACTATAGCGGCGCGCTATTGTTGTAATCAATCGTTATTCGTTAAATTACGACTACAATTTATTGTTATATGTATAATTTTACTTCACGCTGTTATTTTTTTATAATAACAATTTTAAGCAATATCGCTTTTGTTATATAAAAGCTACTATTTCATTATTCGACCACTGTTTAGATTCATTATTCCTACGTTGGTATTCCTATTATTTCAAAAGGAAAATAGATTGGAAGTGAATATGAGAGTGGAGACAAGGCAAGTTCAGTCGCATGTGATGTTCATTTAATTCTAATATAGTATACCACGGAAGGTAATATGCTCAATTTGGATTTGTGTGTAGACCTATAGCTCTAACATGTCTTGTCTTTTTACTTGCAATGGTAAATTCCTTCCATTATTTTTATAAGACCATGAATCGTGGTTTTAATTTGGTGCTCTGGTATGGGTTAGTTTGTATTGAATATATATGAATGGATTTAAAAAAAAATGGTTTAAAATTTATGTGAAAAAATAGAGATTAATAATAAGGTAATAAAATGTTTACAATGTGTCCATGACTTGGTCGATAAACGACATAATGTGGAGTGGGAAGATCCATTGTTCAATAAAGTCTTCCTACTGTTATCACTCATTTTTTTCATTCGCTTTCGAATATCACTATTTTGCTTCATCAACTGTCTGACTCCTCTCGCAATGTCCTCGGCCTTCACAATTTCAACATCGCCGTCATAATTCTTATAGTCCATTTTAATCTCTACCGCTAACCCCAACTCCTTCACTAATGACAATGCATTCATATGTTGCTCTGCGTAAAGCGGCCACGCTGCCATCGTCACTCCAAACCATATACTCTCCAGTATCGAATTCCAGCCGCAATGCGACATGAACCCTCCGATCGCAGGGTGGCTTAAAATGGCCACTTGTGGCGACCAATCGATGATCTTACCGATCCCAACTGTTCGATCTAAAAATCCTTCCGGTAACACTTCCGCAACGTTTTCGTAAGCAGTCGGGCTTTCCTTCATACCCTTTACTTGCTGCACCGGTCTTCGTAAGGACCACAAGAACCGGTGCCCACTCTGCTCAAGTGCGTTGGCGATCTCTATAACTTGATCCACACTGAAGCTTCCCATGCTCCCGAAACAGAGGAACACTACTGATGAACAAGGTTTTTCGTCGAGCCACTGCAAGATTGCATCGTGATTCTGATTGGCCTCGCTTGAGCTGGATAGATTCAGTATGGGTCCTACTGGGTAAACGGGTGGGATTTGAAGCCTACCATTAGAAAGGTAGTCAACCGCATGCGATTCTAAATCTGAAAATGTATTTACCATTATACCCTTCATCTCTCTTAGCCCTTTCACCATGTTACGTAGGAAAATAAAGCTTTCATGATTGAACATTTCAATTGGAAATAATTTAGTGGAAACCGGGTTGACATACGATGGAATGTTGAACTCAGTGTTCGAGTCTTTAACTCAAAAAACCCAATCTTTTGCTCATCGTGAAGAACCTGAGTGTAGAACTGGAAGCCAAGAAAAGCAGCACCCGAGGTGTAAAATGCATAGCTAGGAACGCCGAACTCGTTAGCCAGGTCTATAAAAGGAGTCAAGAACATGTCCAGAACGAACCCGGCGAGTCGAGGTGAATCGGGAACTGAGTTGGAAAGCTCAACTATGTTGGTGACGACCTCTTTCACAAGTGGTACCTGGGTTTGAACCAATCTACTCATAAACTTGAAAACATCTACGTCTGGATCTGGTTGAGGGAGTTTGATGAATTTTATGCAGCTGGTGGTGGTGGCGGCGGCCGTGAGAGAGTCGACGTAGGAGCAAACTTTTGTGTCGTAGGGTGGCTTGATGGTGAGGATTGTGATGGAGAGGTTGGAATTGAGATGAACTAAAAGCTTAGCCAATTGAACTGTGGGTACCAAATGGCCCATCCCAGGCATTGGGATGAACACTAGCTCTGCTTTCTTCGTCATCGGAACGGAACAGGAAAGTTAAATGCCCAACACTGCAACGACGAATGATGCGGTTGCTTTGCTGGGGTATTGGACCAACATGTGGAATCCGTCGATGTTCTTGTTAAGTTTTTAAGTTGATTTCGATGGTGTATAACGTAAACACACCTATTCTAACGTGGTCTATTTCCTTTTTGTATACGTCAAGCAATGGTTCCGTTTCATCTTTATTAACTTGTTTTAGTTTCTAAAAACTGCTACAATTTGTTTTATTAATTTGTTTAGGAAAAAATTGCACCAAAGGCCCAATACTTTAAGAAAAAACAATGTGGCCCTCATGTTTTTTTCACTCAATGTAACAATTCAACTCAAAAATAAATCTAATATGACACTTTAATGTTTTTCTTGCTGATGTGGTAGTACCACAGTAATTGGTGGTGTGGTGGATGGCATGACTGATGACCCTATACTTATGATATTTGATCTTTTTTAAAAATTTTAATAATAGTTTTAGTATTTTTAATATATATCTATATATATTATAATTTTATCTTATTTTTAGTGTTTTTAATATTTATTTTTTGAACATTTGAATATGTAAAATTTAAAATAATTTTTAGTTTTTTTAATTAAATAAGCTCACGGGCTTAAAAAATCATTTGGTCCTCGAACAAAACTAAAAAAACCAATTTAGATCATCTACCATGTCATCAGCCACTGTGAGTTGTCACATCAACACCGAGAATTGTCACGTCAGCACTGTAATTGTCAACGACGAAAAATATTGGTTAAAGGGTCATATTGAATTTATTTTATGAACTGGAGGGTCGCATTAGGTGAAAAAATAAAACGATGACCATATTGATTTTTTTCAAGTACAGGGACCTTTTATGCATTTTTGCCATTTATTTACGTAACCTTTGCTTTTTGTGTCAAAAAAGAAATTGGGTACGTAGGAATTCGTCTTAGTATAGGAAGAAGTTTATAACGCAAAGCAATAAACATTAATTATGCGTTGAACCTTTGGTTTAAATTGTAAAGAAGAAGATCATTAAGTAAGAGAAGTTAAAAGCAAAACAAATCCTTTTGTCGGATATAACTATACTAAACTGGTTACATTAAATCTCAAACTCAAATTATGAATACATTTGAAAAGGAAAAGGTGATATCAATGTACTGAAATTTTTTGTTAAGTGATTTCATCGATCAAACGAAACAAGAAGGAGTGTGAAGAACTGAGGATCTACAGTTGGAATCTATTTGAACCGACTCATCTAGATTATGTACATTATTTGTTTATGGTCGCAGACGATCTAAAGATTGATTCCTCTGCTGTGGTTCTTATTGTGACTTTTTTAATGATCATCATTGCTATTGTCAGATACTTCATTTAGTTAGTTACTTACTTCATCGTATGTTTTTTTAAATAATTTAGAGTAATTTTATAAAATAGTACATGTTCATAATTTTTTTAACTATTGACAACACATACTCTACAAATACAATAACTTAAACTCAAACTCTCTAGGGTTAATAACCCGCTCCTTAATACTGAGATCGTTTGATGGGTTATACTTCATCATATATATATATCCTAACCATTGAACATGTATAATTTTGCATATAATGCATCAACATATTTCATTGCGAATGTATTTTATTATCATATATGCCTTGTATGATATATATATATATATAATATCTAATTATAAAATTACAATAAGAATCACAATTATAAATAATACGATAATAATGATTATAATTAAAATTAATCAATGTGCTGATTAAAATCAATAAAAATATATAATATATATATATAGTGAAATTTTGATCAAAATAAATTTAGATTAAGTACTCACATATGAACTTTTGTCAACATTGTTAGTATTTTATTGACTTATATCTACTATATTTTTTTTTATTAATCTAGAGTAAGTATAATGTAATATATATTTAAAGATAACTCTCAACCTCTCAACATTGAACACTCACACCCCTAACATTTAATATGATTAAAATGATTAATTGAGTTTATTTTAATTTATATTGTTATCGATAAAATATATAGAATGATACAAGTTTAATATATATTAAAGAAACATTTGAAGATTATAGATATTGTATAAAAAATATGAATTGAATAATATAGATAATACTTAATTACAATATATGTTTTCAAACTATAATCCTCGATCATTTCACTTTTCCATTTTCATTAAAATTGTTCCTAAATATAAATTAAATGAAAATAATTTTAAAAGCTTGAAAATAAGGGGGGGAACCTTATCCAGACCCCCACCCCCAAACTTATCCAGCAGTAATTAACCCGCGGTTTCCTTGGATTCTAGATCGATCAGAGGATAGAGTAGAAAGCAAGCAAGAACAAAAAGTGAAAGAAAACCCTAAAAAATTCCCCACACAATCTTCCTCCATTTCCAAGCAAGCATATATTCAAACAAGCTAAAAAGAAAAGTAAATAAGAATCTGATTACATTACTGCAATGATTGCCTTTGAATCTTCTTTAGTTTCCCCATATATAAACAGGCTTCATTCGCTTAATTAGTTACATCCATGGAGTCAAGGAGGCACTGCTTCAAGTTTCTTTATGCATTCCTATGCATTCTCTTCACTCACTGTGGTATGTAAATTCCTTCTCTTTTTGTTTCATATTCAGTTGAGGCATCTTCAAGGTTGAATGCATTCGCTTAGTTACAATTTGTTGTTTCTTTTTGTCTTTAAAGATGCCAGACTTATGGTTCATACATGGAAAGTTTGGAAACACCATGACTCAAGCCTCCATCAAAAGCTAAGAATAACGAATCGTGTTGCCTCCAATGGTGATCCGTATACACTCGACTCACCCATCTATCTACCTCCTTTGGACACTTTATCGCCACCATTTCCTCAGTCTCACCACTCTCCTCCGTTTACCCCACAATCACCTTCCAACCCTCCTCCACCTCCAACAAGTTACGGCCTACCGACACCTCCACCGCCGAGTAACATCATCTGCAGCCCGCCGCTAAATCCGCCTGAAACAGCTCCTCCGAAACATGGGTTCAACTCACCTAGCATTTTCCCAAGTCCACCTCAACTTCAACCTAATCCACCAAAACATGTTCCTACACCCCCTAAGCAGGTTCCAGGCCAACCCATTTCCGAACCTCGTACTCCTCCACACAAAGGGTCACGGTCCGGTGCTTGGTGTGTAGCTAAGCCGACAGTGCCTGATTCATTGATCCAAGCGGCCATGGATTATGCATGTGGGTCTGGTGCGGATTGCAAGTCGATTCAACCCAACCAGGCCTGCTTCCAACCCAACACAATGATGGCTCATGCATCGTACGCTTTCAACAGTTATTGGCAAAACGCAAAGGGGCGTGGTGGCACTTGTGATTTCGGAGGAACCGCCATGCTTGTTACCGTTGATCCTAGTAAGTTTCTTTCGAATTTTATTCTCAAAATCTAAACCTTTCCCATCTGCAAATGGATAATCAAATGATATGAATTTCTCATTTTCTGGAACACTTTTTTGTAATGAAAACTGACAGGTTTTGGTAAATGCAAGTTCAGCAACAACTGAACACACGAATGAGCCATTCGAGAGAGCAATGATTTCAGAGTTTGAACCAGCACTGTGGCTAGATACGATTTTTACTTGGATATAAGCAGTTTAATTCAGTATTGAGCTTGGTTCCTTTATTTTGTTAATCTGATAGGGTTTCATGAATTATATATATATATATATATATATACCCTATGAAAGGTAACAAAAAATGCAACTAGTACAGCAGAATGTGAGTTCCCATTGCAATTATAATTTGCAACTTTTGGCATCTGGACAGCGTGTATTTTAGAAAGAAGTATTGGATCACATTCAATAGGAAATTTCAAAATGATAGGAAGAAACTCAACGAGTGAGAATTAAATCGTACCTTAGGGTTGATGCATATGGATCAGACCCATTCCTTAGGATTCATGCAGGCATCCAACAATTTCCACTCTTCACTTCCCTCTTCTGGTTTCTGCATGTCAAACAGTAAATTGGCCTCTCATAATCAGTTATAGTTGTAGGTTCTTGGTGAACATTTTCTCAGGATGTGTAACAAAGTTTTACTCGAAGACATGGATGATTGTAGAATTTTATGTTAAAAAATACGAATATCTAAATTTTCAGAAATAGATGAACTGATAAAATTTCAGGGGTAGAAACATATTTTCAATAAAAAGTACATAATAAAATTTAAAATATATGATAATTTTAAATTTTTAAAAGGACGAACCATCCCTCCTCGATCCATCCTGCTTGGAAGGGAAGAGGAAATAGGTCACAAAAGCCTACATGATCGTATTCCCATCGTGGTGTTACAGGGAGATGAAAAGGAGATGTTTCTGTGGCCATGAACGGAGACCGAGAGAGACGGATGGGTAATTACCCCTAAAAATATAAAATTATTATATATTTTATATTTATATTATATATTTTTTATTAAAAATCTATTCTCATCATCTGAAATTTTATAAATTTATCTCCTTCTAATATTTTAGAGGTTCGACCTCCTATATAAAATTTTGTGATGTCCCTGGTTGCTGTTGGACTTCTGATTAAAGGAGATAAAGAGAGAGAGAGAAAAAAGTTTAAAGATTTGGGAATGATGAGGTTGGAGAAAGAAGAGAAACGGTGAGTGGATAGAAAAGAAGAAAAAGAGGTAAGAGTAGGTTAAAATAATCTCATGTGGTTAACTGATGCTAAAATTATATTAATATGTTACATCAATATTTTATTATTCTAAAAAAAATTATTAACAGTTAAATAATTAATTTATTATAAATTAATAATATTAGTGATTCAATAGTTACTTTTAAACATCAATGAAAAAAAAGAAAAATTTCTTAAAAAATAGTGATTGTTTATGTAGTTTAACCACCAAATATATCAGATCTAAAAAGATTAAGATAGGATGAGTAAATTAATCTATTTAAAAGGTTTAAATTTTAATTTAAACATATCGTAAAAATGACCTTTGTTCTTGAATCCGCCACCTCCAAAAACCTTTGCCTCCATAAATCCTAAATCATGATCATCCCCTCCGCCACTAAAACTAAAACCAATGCCATTCCTCACCGCGAACGAGCTCGGGTTCCTCCTCGAATCCGCCATCTCCACTCGGTCCCTCCTTTTCGGCCGAGCCACTCACGCCCACACCCTCAAAACTCTTCAAATCCCTCTCCCTTCTTTCCTCTCCAACCACCTTATCAACATGTACTCTAAACTCGATCTCCCTAACGCCGCCCACCTCGTCCTCTTACAAACCCCACCTAAGTCTCGTTCCGTCGTCACATGGACAGCTCTCATTTCTGGTCATGTCCAAAACGGCCTCTTCACTCCCGCTCTCCTCCATTTTTCCTGCATGCGAAGTGAAGGAATATCTCCCAACGATTTCACCTTTCCTTGCGCTTTCAAGGCCTCCGCCTCGCTTCAGCTAGCCGTTGTGGGGAAACAACTTCACGCGCTGGCTTTAAAGTCTGGTCAGATTTTCGATTCCTTTGTTGGGTGTAGTTGTTTCGATATGTATATGAAAACGGGGCTTAGAAATGAAGCAACAAAATTGTTCGACGAAATGCCTGAAAGAAGTATTGCTATGTGGAATGCAAATATTTCTAATGCAGTGCTTGATGGGAAGTCGAGTACAGCTGTGGATGTTTTTATTCGGTTTAGAAGGATTGGCGGTGAACCTGATCCGATTACGTTCTGCCTTTTCCTTAATGCATGTTCGGATGCTTCTTATTTGGAATTAGGGAGGCAGTTACATGGATATGTGATTCTAAGCGGTTTTGATAGGAATTTGTCCGTCTGCAATGGCCTTATTGATTTTTATGGCAAGTGTAAGGAGGTGGAAGACGCGAGGATGGTCTTTGATGATATGGAGAAAAGAAATGCTGTTTCCTGGTGCTCACTGATATCTGCTTATGAGCAAAACTATGAAGAAGAGAACGCCTGTGGAATGTTTTTGGAAGCAAGGAAAGAAGGGGTTGAGCCGACTGATTTCATGGTCTCGAGTGTTATCAGTGCTTGCGCGGGGATGGCAGGGCTTGAGTTCGGTAGATCAATTCACGCACTTGCTGTTAAGGCTTGTGTCGAAGGGAATGTTTTCGTCGGGAGTGCATTAGTCGATATGTATGGTAAATGTGGAAGCATCGAGGACTCGGAGCAAGCTTTTTATGATATACCGGAGAAGAATTTAGTTAGTTGGAATGCAATGATGGGTAGTTATGCTCATCAAGGGCTTGCCGACATGGCTTTATCATTGTTTCAAAACATGATATCTTGGGGTCAAGTTGTTCCCAATTATGTGACTTTGGTTTGTGTATTATCAGCTTGTAGTAGAGCAGGGGCAGTAAAAATGGGTATGGAGATTTTCGAATCAATGGAGGAAAATTTTCGGATTCAACCAGGGGCAGAGCATTATGCTTGTGTCGTGGACTTGCTTGGGAGAGCTGGGATGGTTGAGCATGCTTATGACTTCATTAAGAAAATGCCGATTTGTCCGAAAATTTCCGTCTGGGGTGCTCTTTTAAATGCCTGTAGGGTGCATAAAAAACCGAAACTGGGGAAGATAGCAGCTTCTAAACTATTCGAACTCGATCCTAAGGACTCCGGTAACCATGTGTTGCTATCTAATCTATTTGCATCTACGGGCAGGTGGGAGGAGGCTGATCTTGTGAGGAAGGAAATGAAAGATATTGGAATCAAAAAGGGTGCAGGTTGCAGTTGGATCACAGTGCAGAACAAAGTTCACATCTTCCAAGCAAAGGATACTTCACATGAAATTAATTCTAAGATTCAAGAGATGTTGTCTAAACTCGGGAATGACATGAAGGCGGCCGGCTACGTTCCGGACATCGATTTTGCACTCTTTGATGTAGAAGAAGAAGAGAAAATGTCAGAGGTCGGGTACCATAGTGAGAAAATTGCTCTTGCCTTTGGGCTTATAGCTATACCTCCTGGAGTACCTATAAGAATCACAAAGAACCTTAGAATCTGTGGAGATTGTCATAGTGCCTTCAAGTTTATATCAGGCATTGTTGGGAGAGAAATTATCGTGAGAGATAATAACCGATTCCATCGATTTAAGGACGGGCAATGCTCTTGTAGAGATTATTGGTGAATATTGTTTATGCGATCAACGAAACTTTTTAATGAAATATACTCAATAGCTTTTGTTTCATGAAAACGATTTTTTAAGTCACTGATCGAGTTAAAACAGTACACATCCGTAAGTTATAATTTTTCTATTTGAGTCGATGAAATATAATCTATACTTTCCCCTCATAATTAACATAAAAAAAACCTTGAACTCTGTTCTTCATTCCAACTATAAATTAAACTTCAACTTTCTAAATTTTATTTCAATATTTATTTGATTCCTAACAATTTTTAAAATTAATTAATTTTTGCCTATAATTTTATCCTACTTTCATTCATATATATATAGAGAGAGAGAGGGGTTGAAGTTGCACCAATTGATTAAGGGTGAAAATGAATCGAGTTTGAGCAAAAAAAATTGTGTATTTGTGTTCATGTTCGTATTAGTTTATTTATTTTTGAAGATACGTGTGTTCTTTAGTTTATTGTTTGCAAACATATTCATTTAATGTTCGTGAATATGTTCACTTAACGTCTGTAAACATTTTCGTTTAAACGTTCGTTTAATATTTGTAAGCCAAAGAAAAAAAATAGTAAAATTACGCCACAAATTCTTGAAGTTTTAGGCTTCACAGTTTAAATTCCAAAGTTCACATTTTGTTCAATTTGGTCCATATTTTCATCAATATTTAGGATATAAAAGAATAAAAGGAAAACGAGAATCGAGTAAAAGAACTTAAACAAGTTTATTAACGAGTTTGTTCATAAATATAAATGAACTAAACATACATTTATTTATGTTCGTCGTTTATTAAATAAATAAAATTTATATTCATACACATTTATTTAATTTAACAAATGAATGTTATATGTACGATTAATTTATTCAACAATATTTATTTATTTCCTTAAATATATGATGGAGATTGATGGAGCACTCGAACGTGAACACACACCAAGTGGGTTAAAATTTGGAAAAGACACGATCAAAACGTGACCTCATTAAAATTGAGTTATGTAAGTCAAACTAACCCCACCTTTATTTAAATTGAAAACACTTTTGACAAAGACGGATTTCTTGACTGCTTTATGCATTACCTGCATTACACGTAACTCCAACATGAAAATTAAACAAATTTCTTTTCACCTTGTTTTTTCAACTTTGCAATGGACGAACAAATTGGTACAAATTATTAAAGATTTAACAGAAATAAAATCCAAAACTGCATACCCTTCTTCCTCAAATGAATAAAAAGTAATAAAGAACCGAGGGCGTTCTTTGTTTCTTCTAATTTGCAGCAAAATTACTGGTATTGTTGATTTTATTGTTGCCATTGCTGTTGCTGTTACTAGTGGTGGTGGTTGTGGTAGTAGTGACGTTGCCATTACTGTTGGTGGTGGACGTGAGGTTCGCACCATTATTATTATTGATGTTACTGGTGTGAGAGCTCCCGATAATAGAAGTGATAGCGGCGGCTAAAGCGGCGGTGAAGTTAGGATCCGTCGCGATGGCGGTGGTGGCAGCATTAACGGTTTCGGCAAATGAATTTTGTTGACCTTGTTGAAGTTGGTGATTCATTTGAGGTTGCTCGATGTCGTGAGACATTTGCAAACCAGAGAATTTGGATTGGTTGTAAAGTGCCTGACCGAAAATCTGAGGCAGCAACGACAACGGCGAGGCCTGGGGATTGGGGTGCGATTGTGGGTTCGGGAATGGGACTTGGAATTGGCTTTCGGGTCTGGGGAATTGTAAAGGGTTTGGGGTCTGGGTGAGGTCCAAGGTGACGGTGGGGAATGGGGCGGAAGCTGATATGGTGGCCATGCTAGAAGAGCATGGGAGGACAGTTCTTGTGAGAAAATTCGAGTTCATTAGTCCATCGGCGCTGGACATGGAACCGGATAACAGCATTCGTGCAGCCGATGACGTTGTCGACGCCATTGCCATTGCTGCCGGAGGCAAAGGATGGTTGTGGTTGCCTTCGTATGTTGTTATTAGAATTGAACGATCTTCTGCACATCTTTGTACCTGTAATGTTCAACAATAAGTTAATATTGCGATTATTTATTAACTCCAAAATGATTTACAGATACAAAGCATATGAAGAAAACCTGTTTTCTAACTGGGCAACCAGCTGCCATGGTACATCGATAATATGCTCGAGGACATGGATTTCCTTTCGCCATTTTCTGTCCATACTTTCGCCATTGACATCCATCTGTGATCTTCAATGATGAAAAAAAATCCAATCAATTTAAACGCATGAAAACGAGATTCTGAATTATAAAAGTTAAATACTTCGATTTAATGAAGAAGAAAAAGAAAATACCATGGGAGCCTCTGATCTTGCTCTAACAGAAACTCGTGCCTTCCTCATGGTAGCTTCAGTTTGATCAAAATTTTTCGAGGAATTAAACCTCGGAACCTTGTTACCATCAGGACTATCTTCTCTTCCAGTTTCGCTACTCCCACGCTTTCTTGATCTGAAGTCCTTTAAAGCTACCTCCGCATTAGACGACCCGGATCGATCGTGACTCCTCCCGACCGTCGATGACAGTGACGGTTCATCCGTATCAACTTCTGCAGCAGCAGCGGCTGCTAGACCAAGATCCATAAACTGTCTCGGAATCATTAGTTCTCCATTAGATTTCTTTTGTTCATCGGGTTTTTCAACTTTTCCATCTTGCTGTTGTTGCATAAGGGTGACCAGATGTTTTTGAACCGTGTTGTAGTTGCTCGTCACCTGGCTCAACATTTCCTTTAACCTTTGATTCTCCGTTTTCATACGATCAAACTCAACTTGTAAAACAGATAGCTGAAAAAAGGAAACCTATGGCACGTAAAACAAACTTACAACATGATTTTAATTCAATCAAAATCTCGAATTATCCAGTTTCTAATAAAATAAAATACCTCATATTTAGCTCTTTTATCTTCCATGTTTGAAGAGATCCCATCATCCACCATGGATTGATCGCTACTCGTGTTCGTAGTTAATAAATTCAAACCAGTCTGAAAATCAACAAGAAAATGTATTTGAATTCTAATTCATCGATTCACAACTGAGAAAGAATAATAAAAAATTAATAAACTGAGGACACGTGACTTACGTTAACGTTAAGCTCGAGGGCAGTTCGATCGATGGAGTCATTGATCTCTGCATTGGCATGATCGGAATCACCGACATCGTCCGTGAGTTTACGATTCTTCTCGGCGAAGAAATCCATTTCGCCGATGACCCTACGCGGGTGTTCATCGCGAGAGCAGTTGAGATTAACGGGGAACTGAATGGTGGTGGGCGGAGGAGGAGACATGTTTGCTGTAGAAGCATCATCCATGGCGAACACAGACAGTTTGGTGCAGTAGTTGTTGTTGATGAGGATGATGTTTGGTTTAGTGTCTTCTTGTTCGGGAAAGGAATTAAGAACAGTTGGGATGTGAAGGGAAAAGGAAATATTGGGATCTGAATCAATGGGGAGTCCACTGGGTTTGCCCATAAATCAAGAGGAAGAGAAGAGAGAAGTCTTTGAAAGGGGCAACGGACCAGGCAATAAAAAGGGAGTTGAGACTTTGAAGAAGACCAAACTGTAGTAAATATATTAAGTGAGTGTATTTTTCAATATTTCTTCTTCCTTTTTTCCTATATAAAGTAATACTTTTAGATTTATTTTCATAAAAATCCTTACATGATATAAATAGTCAAAGTGTCAAACATTATGTATTTAGTAAATATAAAAATATATTATAGATATATATCATTCACATTATGTTAACACAACATACCATTATCAATAAGTAATTTTTAAGGATATAATTTTAAAAAAATAGAAAAGTTACCTAAAAAGAATATTACTTTAAGTTTGGTATGCATTTTAAATGCTTATTCTAAATTAGTTTTAAAAGAAACTTGATTCTAAATTTTAAAAATTATGTTTAACTTTATTTATCCTCTATATTTTCCAGTTCCCAAGTAAATGGGATCAATGTAGTGCAATAATTTCAAGATAATCAATTCAGTTTTAATATTTGTTTCGAAGATTAAATAAATATATTTAATTTGATTTAAAATTATCCATAACAACATGAAAATCATACTATTTTAGTTTTAGCTCCATTTCAAATTAATTAAACATGGTCCGAACTAATGTAACCTTTAACCGAGGTAAAAGAGACCTGTGGCAATGATGTGGAGGCCCAAGGGAAAGGAAAGAAAATCGTCTGAATTTTGATGATTTCTTCTTTCTTCCTTCGTGTAAAATTCTGGTAAAAAAATATTAAAACACATCGGAGATTGACGCGTTCAAACAATTCACCGCCCTGAATGGCCCGGCGGTGAAAAAAATCCTAGTCAACGGAGTTTGATGAAGAAATGGGCCCACTCGTTTTTCTTTGACTTAAAATCTATTCCACGTAGGTTTGGTTCGTATACCCGAAGCTAACGGTTTGACTAAGTCCGGCTTTTCTCACGTGGCATGGACTGAACTGAAATCCCTTGCATCCTTCCTCACCACTACTTATTTTTTCTTCCAAAAGTTTAGGTTTGGCTAAAATAAATTATTATAACAAAATCAGCACTTTGTCTTCGTGTCAGAAATTATGATAATAGTTCTGAATTGTCTATTAAATATTAAGTATTAATATAATAAGTATTATTAATTAGGTGTAAACATGTAAAACACGTGAATCAATTAAATGCATGGTTTTCATAACCGGATCGGTTAGTGAACCGGTCATACTACCGGTTCACTGGTTCAACCGATCGAACCGGTCTGATCGGTCGAAAGAACCGGACGACGTCATAATTATTTAAAAAATTAAATAAAAATACCAAAAATATTTAATAAAAAATAATTTTTTATATCACAAGTTATATTCAAAGCAAGTCATAACATATATAAGTTAAAAACCATAAAATCAAGTGAAACAAAATGATTCAAATTAACTACAACACAATATTTAAGGTAAAACATATTAAATAATAAATATAATTATATAACTATAATTAAAAAATAAATTTGAGGTTAAAAAATCATAACAAAATGATATTGTTTGATTTAATTTTTTTTTAAACAATCCCACATAGCTAAGAAACATAGAAGAGCATCCCAAAAGTCTAAAGAGTAAAAATATAAGAACAAAACAATCCCACATTGCTAAAAAATATAGAAGCGCATAACAACTAACTTCTATAAATAATAGAGGTAATTTGGCATTCAAAATCATGGAGCCTTTTGGTGAGCATTGAGTGAACTATTCTTTCGCTTCAATCAAGCTCGAATTTTAGGCTTCAATCGAGTTTCTAATTTTTTTTTTGAGTTCAAGCCTTTTTGAGTTCAAGTTTCAATATTATATTTCGAGTTTGAGTTGAACTTGATAATTTTTAGCTTGTGAGTTTAAGTTAAGTTGAGCTTACTTTTAAAGTTTTCAAGTTCGAGTCGAGCTCAGCAATACTCGAGTTTGATTTAATTTTTAAAAAAAACAAAAATCCTGGTTTTTCCCAGTTTTTTTCCAGTTTTTAGCCGGTCTGGTTCGAACGGTTCAACGGTTCTGACCGGTTCACTAATAGCGGTTCAACCGTTTTAGATTGAACCGGACTAAGCAACGGTTTCCGGTTGAATCGGCCGGTCAGATCCGGTTTTCAAAACAGAGATTAAATGAGTCTATATTATAATTAAATATTATTAATTAGTATAAAACCTCAAGTTTCTCAAACCATCTCTTTGCTTTTTCAGAATTCAAATCAAATACCGCTACCAAATTAATACCAACCGGACCTCATTGTTGACAACATAACATTTGACCAATCAATGGTAGTACTGGTCCAAATACATGTCATTTGTCTAATACTTAGACCACATTCAATTCGATATTACAGATTTAGAATATAGAATAAATAATTTTTATTAAATATATAATACAAATTATTAATGTATTAAAATTTATAAAAATATAAAAATATCTATGAAAATATAAATTTAAATACATTAATATCCGTATTTAAAATATTTAGGTCACCTTGTTTTTTTGATATAAAAAGAGAAAACGAAGAATAATTATTATGTGTGAACCCATTGGGTAAGCTAGTATACTGCTTGTAGTATGACAGTTAATGCAAATAATTCAGTGGTCACGTAAAGTTTTAGTTCACATTCAACCACCAACTTGTTTTTCTTCTTAGAAAACGACGTCACCATTTGCGTTTGACTTGCCGCGACCAACCACGCTCCAATTATTGTAATCGGTTGGTTATTAAAATCTAAGTTGCTAACCAAAAAAAAAGTTATTCATGTAATAAAATGGAGTGATAAAAGACGGACAAAGAGTTTTCATTTAGATATAAAATTAGGAAGAAAAAGTGAAAACTATATTACAGCCTGCATGAAAGAGTTAAAATAAAATATTTAAAAAGTCAATATAATGAATTTAATGAACGATTATAATGATAAGAATTAATTGCATCACATGCTCTTAAATTATGACCTTCATTTTAAATTAGTACTTAAATTTTTAAATATTTTAATTTCATCTCTAAAACTATGACCTTCATTCTAAATTAGTCCCAAACTTTTTGAACATTTGAATTTCATCCCATCTATATGTATACTCTAATCACATCTATTGTTAATAAAATTGTCAGGCCAAATTATATTATTATATGTTTTAAAAACAAAATATAGGTTAAATTTTGGTTGAAACTAATTACATATTTGGATGAATTTGGATATGAAATTGGAAGATTCAAAAGTTTGGGATGAACTTAAAATGAGGTTCATAGTTTGGGTGAAATTGGAATATTCAAAAGTTTAAAAACCAATTCAAAATGAGAACCATAGTTTAGGGACATATGATAAAATTAACTCTAGTGATAAAGAAAAGCTATTTTTTTAGACGATTGTTTCTTATATATATTAAAAATAAACTTTAACAAGAGTCATAATTTAGGGACACATGATACATATGGTACTCGTAGGTTTGATAATGGTTTGACTGCTTGTGGAGGAGTCTTACGAGACCAGACGAGAGGATGGATTATGGGTTTTACTAAAGTAATCGTGCTGAACTTTGAGAAATTTATGAAGGTATTTCCTTAGTTTGGACCATGGGCTTGCAAAAGCTGGTAGTTGGATCGGATAGTAAAGAAGCCCTAAACATTATTGGCTACAAGAGTAATTCGAATTATGGCTAGTCTATGGTTCCGCATATAATGCCTCTAATTCTTCAAGAGTAGACTTTAAAGTTCTCATATGCTCCTCGTGAGAACAATACAGTGACCGAATCTTTGGCAAAAACTGGCTTGGTCTTAACCGTTTGGTTTCCATACTTTTCGATCAGCACCATAGTTAGTCAAAGCTGATTTGCTGGGCGATGCTCGTCATGCTTCTGCCTTGACTTATGGCTCTATGTTTTATCCAGTGGTGTTCACTCCTTTTACTCAAGAATAAATAAATATTATACCTTTTTTTAATATACATGTATATATAAAGAGTTAGGATCTACATACCGAAGACACTTAATTTCGACTGTTTACATTATAAATTATAATATATTATAATTTATAATATTATAAATTATGATTTTTTTTACATTTTGTTTTATGTCCAGGTCCATTACAACAAATACAAAACAGCCCAAGTCAGCAGCCCAGTTGGGACCAAAACGCGTGATCCATTTGCTGATACCTGAACCCGGTTCCAAGCCTGCAACCCGGATCTGGGCTAGGGTTTCCAGAGCCCTAGCAGATCCCTCCTCAGCGCCGCAAGACTCAACGAAGAGTCCACATGCCTCACGCCTCCCTCGACCGTATTTTTCGGCGAGTGACACCAACGCAACAATCACAAAAAATGTTAGTGTTTTATACAGAATAAAATTACTAAAAATAGGATTTTGCTTCTACTATAAATTACATGTAACCATAACACAATAGGTACATACGAGATTAGGCACAAAATAGACTACCAAATACACGAGTAATATTCGGAAAACGCAAAAACAGTGAATCCAAGCCTCTTATAACCATTTTGAAGTGAAATAAAGAAGGGTACAATTTCAAATTCGTCAAAGGTAATTAATTTAGCTCGTTATTTTACTTTTTTATTTAAAGTTACAATTTTCTTAAATTAAGACAATTGTAAATTATGTAGTATCGAAAGGGCAGTTCAAGGGTGTTAACCCTTCCTTGATTGTAACCGACTCCCGAATCCGACACATCTTTGCTAAGACGCAGATCATGTAAGAAATAAGGTATCCGATCAACCCATTTTTCATAAAATAAATGACCGGTAGCGACTCGCAATCAATTTTTCCAAGTCGAAGCCTAATTCCGAACCCAACCGAAAGACGTTTCCGACACATACATAGTGACAATGTAAAACTCTTTTAGTTTTACACAGGCTTAAGATCGTTGGATGAATGAAAATAGATGGTTGAAATTAACTTATTGTTTTTTTCCTATGAGAATTTTCTCATTTCCTACTGTTAATCTCAATCGTCTAATTTCACTCATCTAATGATTTTAAATATGTATAAAACTAAAAGAGTTTTATATTGTACAATAGAATGTTATCCCGTATGTAAATTAACTAACATTTTTTTATATGAATGTTTTGAATTTATGTTTTACTTTAGGTGTTTTTTAATAAGTTAAAAGCATGTTTAATGTAAAAATAAACGTCTAAATTATATCTTAACGGCCATTAATATTTTTTAATAAGTTAAAAGCATGTTTTTTAATAGCTTGAAGGGCTTACACTATAACGGCTATTAAAAAAAACTGTTAACTAACACGTATCATATATATATATATATATATATATTTATTTAACTTTTTAATAAAAAATTAAAGAAAAAACTAATTTCTCCTCCTCTGGCCGCAATGTGAACCCCAATCGTCCCCCGGCGCAGATCCCCTTCGTCCCGCTGAAAGCCCCTAGGAATTGGGATGTAATTCCACATTTGGGTTTTATAAATTAGGGGTTTTATACATTGGGAACTAGGGTTTATGATCATAGATTTGGGCATTTGAGGTTTTAGCAATTTAGGAGATTAAAGTAACGGTAGATCACTGAAAGAACGATAATGTATAGGTGACCCTCCACGTCAACGGTTAAAATGAATTTGAAATCAAGGATTTTAGGGTTGTAGATGTATTTTGTAATTTAAGAAAATGGATTTTTCTATAAATAAATTATAATTTAAAAGTTTTTTATTTTAAAAACAATATTTTAAAATTTTATAAGTATGACATGAATTTAATAATGTTGATGGACCATGCACCTAAAAATATAATGGAGAAAACGTTATACATATATTTTGAGAAAAAAAATCACCTAAAAGTGTAATAGATAAAATATTAGATACTTATTTTGACTTTTGAGCGAAAAAGTTTTTAGTCATTCAAAATTAACTTAGATCTAATTTGTACATTTACTTTTGCATTAGGCCATAAAAATAACGACATGTTAATAAATTTAAGTAATAAAATTTGTTTTATATATTAATTAAAATTAAATATAAAGATATACTTAGATTAAATAAATATAAATTTTAAAACTTATTTTAATTTTTAAAGAAATAAAATAATAACATGAACTAAATTGTATAAAATATCTTTAAATTAAATGATAAGCGATTTTTTGTCTATTTATTATTATAATTTCTCATATGTGTTTATTAAAATGTTCTATTACATGTATTTAATTTTTAATTATCAAATGCATTCTAAAGATTATATCACTAAAAATATTGATAGATTTTCTAGTAGAGATTGATATAAATTCTAAAGAGTTTATTGAATTTTGACGTGATAATTATAAATTATTGTATAAATTGAAGATATCAAAATTTTGAATGATTCAATAATATCTCTTAAAATCATTCAAAAGTTTAAGTAACAATACAAACCGATGTCTATAGTTTAATGATGAATTTAAAATGTTAAAAGTAAGAATTAATTTAGAATTATAATTACAGTTAGAGGATAAATTGAAATATATAAAATTTGAGGATAATTTAGAGATGTGTAATGCAACTCAGAATTTTATATATTGAAAAATAGCGGTTACTTCTCTTGAAATTTGGCGCGTTATTTCTCGACATTTCTCCAAATAAGCAAAGGAAAAACACTAAGCTAATCACCGCCGACTCGTCGCCGCTGCTAAGTGAACTCTTAGAGAAGGAAAAAACATGTTATTTCTCCGCCACAAACAACCGTCACGGAAGAGATCTACCTCTTCCTTTGTCCCTCCATTTCCTCCGCCCAAAATCCCCAAATCTCAAAACGACGAAGGAACTGCCGTTGATGCTGTTAAGAAGATGGTTTCAATATTGGCCGAGGGCGGTTGCAACTTGGTTAGTCCTTTGGGTCTGCCCTCCGATCCCTACAAGCTCCGCCGCCACCTCTCCTGCCTTTTTTCTTCTACTGACGATCGCTCCGTTTTTCTCTCTGGTTTCTCTTCTTACATACAATCTCCCTCCAATCTTCGCAGGTATGTTCATCCTTTTTCCAATTGCTAGCTTATTTTTTTTTTCGTTTTTGATTTCCCTATTTCCATGCATAATCTATATTGTTTACTAGCCTTTTAATTTAGTGTACTAGATTCTATTTAGTTATTTTTAAAGCCTTTTATCTTTAATATTGATTGAATTTAGGATTAATCAGTTAATCCATCTTTCTATATATGTTTTGTTGAAAATATTACGAGATTCAGTTGGAAGGTGTTTTAAGGTTTTCGCATTGCTTATTCTATTGGTATCGATGAGAAAATGCCTCATTTATTTTCTTCTGTTTTCCAAGTTCCTTTCAAAGATTACTCTTATTGTTTCCCATCAAATAAGTTGATTGAGGCTGGTCCTTCTGTGCAGTTTGAAGTAAACCTCACAGTTCTTGACAAATTGGTAAGCAGTAAAATTTGCTGCTTTGTTTCCATTGATCACAAAAGAGGTAACAAAAAACAAGTGAAAAGTGTTGCAATTCTTATCCTTTTGCTCTCTTTCAGGTTAAGGAAGTTGTTTGCTTAGAGAAGGTTCGATCTTTTGCTCAACCCGAAAATGTTCACACACTTTTGATCAGGATGCAAAAGAATGTTAATGTGGTTGTTGCACTAGTTAGCATGTGCAGAACCCATGAGAAGGTAACCAAATAGAAATGTGGTTTCCTTTGCCAACAGTTCTTAGATAATATATATATTTTATATTTTCAGTCTTGAACCTTCACCACCGTTAGGTATATTACGCAAGTCTCTGATTTCTGTTCATGAATGGCCTCCATTTTGGACTAGATTTTATGACGTTTTCCCTTGAACTTTTCATCTGTTTTGGCTTTATTAATTTCATTCACTTTTATAACAAGTGCTTAGTTATTCTTTTGAGAGTGAATCATATGATTGGATGAGGATAGAACACCGGGATCATGAAGTCGATCCATTTGGCATGCATAATTCTATGGATGCATTATATTAGTGAAACTGTAGAGCTCTTGTACTTCCTCATGACTACAATTCATGCAAGGTAAAAATTCCTTAGATTAGTTCGTAAGAATTAAGAAGAATGATGGCTTCCTTTATTGATTTTTTTTTGGGTGGCAATCGCTCTCTGAAAAATGAAGATGATAAAGAGAAGAAACTATGACACTTGACATTAACTCTTCTCCCAATGTGGCCTGCCCCACTGCAGTGACTAACGGTTGAATAATTCTGGTGCATTGTAATGTGCCACTGCACCATATGCACTTCCATATCTATTGCTAACAGATTATATCCTGCCTGTGCCTTGAGGTTGAGGAAAGTTGGAAACATCTAGGTCATTTTGGAGTAAAAGCTAAATGACAGCTTATCTAAACTGGAAGTATATATGGTGGATAGTCAATAGAGGCCTTTGCTCATTAGAAAGATATATTTTCAACATATCTGAGTAGATAGTACCTCTTTATTGTCGAAATGCTTCAGGTAGTAATCTTGTTGACATGTTAAGATGATGACACAGGTCACCATGCATGCCATGGAAGTCAAGTATGGTGGGAAATTCATTGATTCCTTCCTTATAGGTTGTTATATTTTGGAAATGCAATATGGTCTTCATTGCAGTCTGTTCAGGGAACTGACATCTGGGCATTTTGCAGCGTTTGACTTCTTGCAGGTTCACTTCCAAACGCATAATGAAGTCATACTTCTATTGGTAAGATCAGATCCAGTGTATATATATATTTTCTAACATGCTTGGTACAAGTTCAAAGTTTTAGAAGGAAACGCCATACTGCTTGTTTGTTGCATCAGGTGAAAGAACTTCAAAAGGCAACACGAACGATTCAGACCCTATGTTCAGAAGCAAAGGTGAGTCATGCCATATTGAATCCATTTGAGGTTTAGTCAGAAACTTTGAAAGAGTAACAGACAGATTATATTGAATGTATGTATTGGTATTTGAAGGGCTTGAAACAAACAGCCATCACCGGCAAAATACCTGCTACTAAAAGATCTTTGGAACGCTTTTTGTTTCGTGTCAAGACTCTTCTCCATTCAACCTCTAACGGCTGCACTTTCTGGATGGGTATTTGCAACGTTATCTTCTTTTTTGTAATTAATTATTTACTTTTCTTGAAGGGGTGACTACATTCTTCATATTTGGAAGACTACTAGGCCTCACAGATATTTACAGGTAATCTAAAACACAAGGATCTCAGGGGTCAGGTGCTCAGCTCTCAGGCATATGTAGATGATGAAGTTGACAACATGGATGAAGATCCAGCCGGAGCTGGTGAGGTGGATCCACAAGGTACTGTTCCCTCTGCTAGTGAAAATAGTGAAGCAGAATGAATATTTCTTTTTATCTGTAAAATACTTCCTTTTTTATCCGATGCCGTAATTCAGTTATTTTCTTTGCTAAAGAAAAATAAAACTCATGGGAGAAGGTAAGGGAAGGAGAGGATGATAAATAAGACAAACAGAAAATATGAGAAAATTTTGTTTTCTGCACTCATTATTTTTTTCCTGTGGGTTAAAAACGCTATAAATTTATGTATTATTATATTCTAATATTATTTTTTTACTTGTATTCATTTTATCTTTCATTTTATGTTGATGGTGTAACCATGTGATCCTCTCGTAGTCTATTACCATTAAAACATAATATCTATAATATGAATGAACTAAATTCAACCAATTCCGATTAATGTTTACTCAGTAAACTAACAAATAACTTTCTCTCTTAAATAAATAGTTACACGAGCTTTTAAGTTTACTCAAGTGCAAAAAACAATATAAAAACATTTAAATTAGTATTGCATCCACTAATAAATCTTAATTAATATTAAATGCATTATTTATTAGTATATAATTCTATATATTGATGATAGATTATGTGATTCCGTTTATTAAATTTTTTAATTAAAACTGAAATAAGTAAAGATTATTAATAATGATGTATTTGAAAAATCATATGACTATTCAAAAGTAAAAATAATCAAATCACATGGTAAATAGATTTGAATATAATTTTATGTAATTGCATAACTATAATATATTTGGATAATAATTAATTTGTAGGTACCGATTAATTAAGTATAATAGAGAACTTTAAAACATCTTTAATTTGTAAATTATAAATAAAAACTAATATAATTATACGCATAATCTCAAATTATTTTCAATGTTGTAACTTTTTTATTCTTATTTTTAATCCAACATATTTTCAAGGTAGTATTTATTTATAATCTTTCTTTACCATTGGTAACACATACCCTACAAAGACAAATCTTGAATCGAAGACCCTAAAAGAGAACCACACTTCTTTTAATTATTAAGGTTACTTGATAGATTATGCTTATCTTATGGAAGATTAATCAAGAAAAATTCATATAATCAAAACATGTTATTAGAAAAATTGATGTTAAAAATTTGAAATTTGAGTGATTCTTTTTCTTTGAAATTCGATATTTCCTTTTAGATTGTCATCATTCAAAGACTTATAATGTATGTCATGATGATTTTAGTTAAAATATACGTCTAATACATAATTTGATCTATAAAATAAAATATAAAAGATATAGATTCATAAATAATTTAGATCATTAAAATAAAAAAAAATTATAACTTGTCATTTTTTTTAGGATTTGAGAGTTTAATTGAACTAAAAACACTGAATTGTATTTTTATTTTTAAGAGAAAACTAAGCGCTTTTAAAACCTTTAACGCCTGAAATTGTGGTCCCAGTGGGTTGAAGCAAAATCAGCGAATCTGGTTCTGCTAATCCAAATACCTTTGTCGTCATTCACGACCTGACAAAAGTCCTAAGAGAAACAAACAAAAGACAATCTGAGAATTTGAGCGTGAGTGGGCTGGGCGACTGTTCAAGGAAAACGTACGACACGCTCTCTTTTATCACTACCATTTTCCCACTCTTCTCTGGTTATTTCCTTGTGCGACTCACACTAATAAATGCACTCTCAGAACATTTTATATCTATAACAAATCACAGATTTCACTCCTCTTTTCTTTTGTCGCCCTTTCTAGTCTCTCTCCGACGGACGAAATGGTTTCAGGTGCGGCGGCAGTCGACCCCACCCACGACGCTACTGCCCGAATCACTCGTTTGATTCGAGGACTAGATTCTCAAGAAACCCGAGAGCAGTCTCTTGACATTCTCTGCAAGGTATAGCCTCAGCTTTCTTTGTTTTCTTCTTCTTCTTTCTATTTGGTTTCTCGAACAAAATAGAATAGGTGATCAAACAACATAAAAACCATTTGAAAGAGTTTGAACATCTCAGGAATCTTATTCTTCAGTTTTTGTCGGGTTGTTAAAGAATGGTAGAACTATGTTTAATATATCAAAAGGACTTACACTCGTTTTTCATGATTGTTACTCTCTCTTCTTTTTAAAAAAATACTTTTCAAGTTATGCTGAGATCTTATTTCACCAAAATGTGGGCTCTGATCATTAGATAACAGCTTTCTAGTAATAAGTATTGTATTTTTGGCTCATTTGCGATCTTTTCTTCTCTCCTCAGAATAGACACGCTTGTGAGAATTTGGCAATTTTATTATGGAATTCTTTTGGTATTATGAGGGTCCTTTTAGAGGTAGGTTTTGCTATTTCATTCTATTCTATGTTACTTCAACTTTTTATTTTTATTATTTTTAAGTATTAGTCTTGGCACCTTAGAAGTATTAATGTTAATTCAAATTTAAGCATGGATACGAACGATTCTTTAGTATTACGATAAAATTTTGAAGAAGACGATAAATTTATTCGTATGAAGTATATACTTCTATCTAATACTCACAGTTTCTGAGTGGAGTAGATTTCCTGCATCTAGAAAGCATAGTTTATGTATCTATTTAAAAATTTTCATGTTATTTTACTTTACTCATTGTAATAATCAATTCTCATGCATCTATAGAACAATATTATTTGTCTACTAGACCAATGTTATTCTCCAAGAAAATCATTGACTTGAAAGCTTTATTCATACATGAAATGCCTACACCACTAAATGATTTTTTATCTTTTCATTATTCAGGTAATAACTTCAGCTTACCGTCCACTATTATCAGGTAGCATTACAGAAAAGGCGGTAACACAAGTTTGCAATGCCATTGCGCTTCTCCAGGTCCATTCTTCTAATTTTATTTTTGTGCATGAACATTGACAAGTTTCAGTCTGTTGCTTCAATGATTCTATCAATGGATATCGGTCCAAACATGTAGTATTTTATTGCATAAAATGGATATGTTAAGCTTGGAGTTATGAATATCAAAGATAATTCTTTGGTTAACACAAGTAAAGTCTGTATTTATCTATGTATTTTTACATTATGCTAATTGTTAGTTCTTTGAAAAGATAAATTACACCCATTTCTTGTATCTTTACAGTCTGTAGCTTCTCACCCTGATACAAAGATGCCATTCATCAGAGGTAACTTCACTTTTAGTCCTCCAAATAAGTGTTTACTTTATGAACTTCACGATTTTTCAAATTCAATTGTTTTGCTTAAAAAAATACCATAATTTGTTGGTTGCATTATAAAACTTGTTCTAATTGAAATACTTCTTTGTAGCTACTATGCCAGTGTATCTTTATCCCTTCCTGAACACCATGAGCAGTGAAAGGAACTATGAATGTCTAAGGCTCACCAGCTTAGGTGTCATTGGCTCCCTGGCAAAGGTAGCCTTCCCTCACATCTCTTCTGTTTTCGTGTCAATCTCTTGCAGAAACTTACATCATTAGAACTCATGGAGTTGAATTAAATGGTTTTTCAGTTAATGTATTTTACCTTCTCTTGGCTCGTCTTTATCGAGTTTTCGATTTATGCAGGTTGATGATCCAGAAGTGGTCGAATACCTTCTTTCTACCCAGATATTTCCTAGTTGCCTACGCTGCTTGGAGTTTGGCAGGACATTGTCAAAAACAGTGAGTGATTCTTCAAATAGAGAAATCTATCGCTGTTAATCAAAACCAATAATACCTAGTGGCTTATAAAATTTTCAGGCTTGTTAAATTGTAAGGGGGGGAAATTGCTGTATACTGCTATGTTACCTTGGTACATGTCTGACATAAGTATTCATATATTTAAAAGATAACAACCTATTATTCATATTCGAATATATGTCGGATACAAGTACTTTAGGGAAAAAGAAGAGTTCGGGTTAACATACTTAGCTATATTATTGAAACATTATCAGCTTCTAATACAATGGACACAACAGGTTGCCACATTTATAATTCACAGAATCTTACTGAATGAGAAAGGTCTCAAGTACTGTTTCATTCTTGCGGAACGGTATCTTGCTGTAAGCCAATGTTTGGCAAAAGTAATCGAAAGTCTTGGTGAAGAAGATGAAGAAAATTTACCGCGCTTGCTGAGAAACATAATCGGTTGTTATCTCAGGCTGTCGGAAAACCAAAGGTTAGCCAAAAATACATGTTCTCTATATACATATATACATGTGTATAACTCATACTTACCGGTTCATTCTTTGATGTTTTGGAACTTGTTTCTGCAAGTAGGACACGACCACAATTGTCAAGCTACATTCCGTGGAAGTTGATGGATTACAAATATGTCAATATCCTCCAAGTAAGCTACATTCTGTGTTTCTAGAGAAGAAAAACAATGCCTTTTGAACAATTCCTCGTGCTAATATCCTTTCCAGGGTGATCCAGAATCCCTTGGTAACCTACGACAATTGATTCACAATCTAAAAATCAGCCGGAGCTCTGCAACTCGATCTACCAGCGAGTCGCCGGGGCGATTTATTCGATGATGGAGAATGCAATTTACCTTATTCAGGCTGGTCGAGGCAGTCACTTGGAATACACAGTATACAATATCAAATACCCCATGCATAAACTGAACTTTATAGACTTATACAGTAAGTGTATAGACATGCATATGTAGACTAAAAACAAACTCATAATAGCTGTTAGTTTCAGTATCCGAGATGCCGAGACATAAATATATTAGTTTGGATATTATTTGTTTATTACACAAACTACTGTATACTATATATGTATGATTAGAGCTAACAAAAATATGTCCGAAATTGAAATTTGTCTGCATTAATTAGAATTCATATTGATTTAAACTCGAAAATATAGTAGTATTAGTTACTTCAAAGCTTCGGGTACCCAATTTTATGTCTTTATGCAAAAATGTCTTAATATATAAATAACGAAAAATATGTATTAAAAAAATCATGTATTTGATAAATAAGGATTTCGATATTGTCTTAGCCAATTACTTGGCCTTTTCAACGGCTGTAATTTTACCAGATCCCCCAATGATACCTTTGAAACACGCTAACTAGAATGTAACTAAGGTGGAACTCAACATTATTTGTTTGGGGTTATTTTAAAATATATATATATATATATTAGTTAAAATATTTTATTACCTTTAAAAAGACAATGTATATCTTGAAATTAAAAATAATAAAGGAGAATATATTTTCATTCATTTAAAAATAAAACAAAAATACAAAAAAATGAATGTTAACTCTTATAACTATATTTAATAATTTATTATATACACTTTTTAAGGACCAACTTAAGAATTTAATATATATTAATATATATATAAAATAAGTTGATATAATGGAATGAGACATTAGTTCTCTTAACAAGATCAGGGGTTCAAATCTTAACGTTTGCATATACCAAATTGGGTTGGAGGGTCACTTTCATCTCTATAGTACTTGATCCGAATTAATTGATTAATAAATTAGATACCAACAATTACTCTCTCTCTCTATATATATACACTAAAAAATAAATAAAAACTGTAGATGATCTACGCGAGAAATATGAATAAATGTGATTCATAACGGCTACCCATTGCCCTCCACTTTCCCCCAAAAATCAAAAGCACGTCTTTGCCTCGCGCGTTGCAAAAAATAAATCGTAAAAAAAAGTATTACTTAAATAATTATAACATAAGATAAAAAATAAATAAATATTCGTTTAATCCGAGATATTAGCATAATCAGAAATTATATTTTTAAAATTATAAAATAACATTGTAATGTTGATTTTGTTATTTAAATTCATTGTATAATATAAAAATAATTCATTCATTCTTTTAGATTAATGTAGGCATTGGCTCAAGTGGTTAAGATCGAGAATTTGAGATATATCAATATATTGTTCAGTCAAAATTAAGGTATTCACCACTGAAGACACTAGCATTCTCTTGAAACATAATAACATATTTTAATATCTTGAGTATTAATATATACTAAATAACTTTACACTCGTAAGTAAATTTAATTTTAGGTCTATTAATACTACATTCACGATTTAAGTTGACGAAAATTTACAATTATTTGATAACTACAGTATGAAGAGAAAACATGAAATATAAAAGGACAATATAAAGATAAAATTACAGTACGAACAAAAAAAGTTCAAAAGCGGACAGGCTGCCATTGAAACCTATCAAAGTTTCAAGAGCTTCATTCAAAAAGAAGAAAATTAAGCTAAAAATCTGCGATTTGAAAGGCCACCGTATTAGCAAAGTTGCCATCTGAGTTTCTGCAATGCTTCTATATAAAGAATACCATTCACATGATTAATATTTGCCTTTTCTCACAAGCCAAAAACAAATGAAACCCCATTGTTATTATAATCAATACAAATAAGCACATCAGTTTCTTTGATTCAAGCACGCGTGTCAACAACCGCAGAGGGCGAATGTCTTTCTGAGTGAATAATTTTGAACCATTGAAAACGGTACTGATTTTGGTCTTCACCGTAATCTGGAAGTAGAGTTGACATTAGTTCTTCTGGTGAACGGCAACCAGGTGGATGTCCATGTCTTTCAACATTACAGAGCGTCCACAAGAATCACATGGAGCAGTCCTTGAGCCACAAATGCTCTCATGCTCAGACAGTCCTCTTAATCTGTCGCGCACATCCATGGCAGAGCTTCCAGCTTGAACCATGTCTCCACAAAATCGACATGTGATTAAGCGCAGGGGGCAATTCGAGGCTTGGTGTTGCACCTATCCATATAAAATGAAATTAAAGTTCCATAAAAGAGAGAAGAAATATGCAGCTGAAGTTTCCATTTCCAATCATTGGGTTCTTGTTTCAGTAACTATTAAGAGCTAAACAAAAGATCGCGATGCTCCTTTAACTACCTTAGGTGACGTGAATTTAGATATGCCACAACAAGGTGCCAGCCATTTGAAGTTCTATATCTAGAAAAGGAAAACCTTTCATTTTGCTAGAAAAATATCTAGAAAATGTTACTGCAGTAGCAGCACTAAACATCCAATATCCTATACGGTATTTACATCCTAATAGAACACCTAAAACTGTAATTTAAAATTAGGATTCATGCTTGTCTAATCCATCATCCACTAGTATAGAAAGGGCTAGTTGGTATACCATCTTTTACTTGAACTTCCACAGAATTACAGACCATATAAGTTCTGCAGTAACACATTCTTACAGAACCACAACAATCGTTAATTAACGTCATGAAATACATATAAAATAAAATGGTGCCAGTTTTTATGCCCTAGTTAATTCAAATAAAGTAAATCGAAATAAATTTGCTACAAAAGGAATGTGGCTTACCATGTCTTCCTTCTCAAAGACTACTCCACAAGGGCACCTAAGTGGTTCATGAAACACTTTCATGTGCTTTTCTATCTCTCCTGATTGAAAAGCTTGCCCACATTTATTGCAATGCACATGATTTTTGGCCTCTTCCATCCTAAGAACTATGCCACAACCAGCATGTGGACAAACAACATTATGTCTACTACAGTATGCTTCATGCAGCGCTATACTTCTACTGGGTATAAAATGCTTGCAATTTCGACACTCCACAGTATCCGCCTCCATTGAAGCTGAATGCATGGCTTGTTGTCCCGCCTTACGCTTGCTGTTCTCTTGAACATGCACCGATACCTGGTACTTGGTTGTTCCTTTGAATCCATAGACAGCAAGGCTGTAAGTACCAGTACCCAAGTTCCTATCTTTGGAAGTGAGGATCAAAGACTTTGAACCAACATCATGGGAAGACCATTCGTGTTGGTGCCGGTTTGGGAATATTAGGGGATGCCTGGATAAATAAAGATCAGTATCTCCACCATTTGTCTCTGCACCTATCTTTACCTCTATTTTGACATCATCAGAAACAATTTTTTCCCATGTATCATCATCAATAGAGAACTTATAATACATGTAATTTCCCTCCTCAACTGATCCAGTTTCTGATGTGCCAAACACAAGTGGTTTTAGGACATACTGATCTGTCCTCTCTGATTCAACACCAGGGTTGACAATATCCACCTCAATATCTGTTTCCAAGACAGATATGCTTGAAGAGGGTTTCAGCTCAAGAACACGTAAACGATATGTGAATTCCCCATATTTAACTGCAAGAACATCATCTCGAGAGAGGGTAGCATGCTGACGAAGGCTTGTTTCAAGGATCGCCTTGTGATTTGGTAAGTCAGAAAAGCCAATTCCATCAGGTTGAAGTTTAGCATATGTACCTTTCGGAAGTCGAACATAACGAACCTCAACCAAGGGAACCATTGGAGTGTCCACAGGGAACAAATTACTCCATACATGAGGCGGAATAGCAACTGAACCTTCATCTGCAGTGAATTCCAAAACACCTGAATGAGTGGTTCTACTGTTTTCCTTTTTTTCATCCTTAGTATTTGAAGAATCCTCTTGATGAACTAGCGACAACTGAAAGTACATCGGTCCCTTGTCAAATGCACCTTGATTAGACAATTCTGTGAAACAGGATGGTGGCAGTTTTATCTTATCTCCACTACCCTGAAAAGGTACTGCTTCTAAGATTTTGTAAAACACTATTCCTCTTCCCGCAAGTAAACTTTCTCCCATTTGTTGTTCAGCCTAATCAAGATAAAAAAAAAAATAGAAATGGCATTACTGAATATACCAAAAAATTTTATAATGCAAGATTATTCAACTCATTTTTAAAGCATCCACGCAAGCACTAAAAGATGTCATAATGTAAAATAATCCAACTCGTGTTTAAATCATTTATGCAAGCTCTCTATGCATACATTACATGAACTCAACCATCGTTTAATCATTATAAGAGTTCATAACCAAACCATGGTAGACTGAAATATACAAATAGAGTAGTCAAGTCAAAGTATGTTCAAGAATTAAAACTTAAAATCTTCCAAAAATGTCATAATCCAAATTAGAGTTCATGAAGATGATAAATATCCTTTCATGGTACAAAGAAGGCAGAACCCCAAGAATAAGGATAGGGGTTGCAAGTGCTAGAATTCAAACCCAGGCCTATAGAATGCCACCTATCAGGATTCAGGAGTGACTGCCCAAACCAATTGAGCTAAACCCTGGTTCTGGAATGATGAAGATTACCCCTTACTATTGTGTATGCCAACGTGTTACAGGCTTTTATTTTTCTCTCCAAAAACCAACACATATTCAGTTGCAATATTATTTCAAACCCAAGTTTCTAGCAATTTCAAGTAAAGAATCGCTTTCCGTATCCATTTTTTGATGCGGAACCACATAATAAATATGATCTCAATAAAGCTAAATATTGAATAATTCAATAACTTCTCCACATATCCATCTAATTGCCTAACAGCGACGATAGAAGTTAATTTCAACGACCTAAAAGAATTACTCAAAAATTAAATCGACGGATAAAATATATATTAAGAAAACCCAATAAAATGAATTGAGAACCGGAAAGCAAAGATCGGGGGCAATAGTAGCACCTTAAGCCGAGCTTCAATGGCATCCAGCCTTCTGGATCTTTGAGCAGCTTCAATGGCATCTCTTTGTTTCTTAGCCTCTTCTTTTGCTTTCCTCTCTCGCTCTAATTTCAACTTGGCCCTTTCCTTCCTCTCCCTCTGTTCTTTATCAAGCTTCTCTCTTGCTATCCTTAGCTCGAAATCCATAACTCTAAAAAAAATCCCCTTAATCTCTTCCGAGTTGGATCGTAAACTTTGAGATGAGTTTGCGTGCGGTTGGGATTTCTTTGTTTTTCCAAAGATTTGATTGAAATCTGTGATGTTTGATGAATTTATAAAGGGGTTGTAAAGTTGGAATTGGTTTTGGTCAAGATTTCAGGCGACAGGTAACGGGACCGTGAAACTGTTTGCTTTCTATCTGCAGTTCGAGAAAGGTCTGGGCCTTTCTAATGAATAAATGGACCGGATCTATACCCATCGAGCTTGAAATTTCCACATTTAATAATTAATTGTTTAAATTAATCCATATTTATAAACACTAAAAATTTATAAAACAGAATTAAGATGACAAAAGTGCTTCATTTAATTATTTTATTATTATTAAATTTATCAAAGGATATCTGTTATGATCCTCATTTGTTTGTGAAAAAAAATACCATCATTATAATAAATAATTATCTCCAACTTAAATAATTAATCAACTCAAATGAAATAAACTAACTTGATTAATATGAAAAATGATCGCATAAAATTAATTAGTTTGAATAAGATTTTATTATATTAATATCATGGATGAAAAACTTTAATTGAAAATGTAAATCTTGTAAAATCCATTTCGCAATTACTATAATTTAAATGATAAAAATTTATAGTTAATTAAAAATATACTTTAATTTTGACGAAATTAATTAAATATTCAAATGCTTTTATAATAACATTAATTAATTAAACATTGTAAATTTAAGCCATTGAATCTTGTGAAAATGAAGCAATTTAATTTATGGATGATAATGATAGAGTCATTATTTTCTTAAAATAGATTTTCTTCACAATTAAGACTTGTTTTTTTAAGTTTAATTTTCACAAGGTGTTTATCATGTATTTAAAAAGGCTGCCGAAAACAAGGTTCGAAATAATTAATTACGTGGCTCAGGCATTCCCAATGACTGAACAAAATAAGAAATGCTTATAGTTGAATTCGTACTAATGCTTATAAATTAAAATATACATATAATAATTTTGTATAACCATTGTAATATTTGTAGAAAAAATGATAAATTAAAATGCATTTATATACTTCAGTTACGAAATCAACTTAATAAAGAATATTATCAATGCTATATTTAACTGAAGAAACATTGTTAATCCAGATCCTATAATAACCCCAACGTTAGGTTCAGTTCCTCGCTAATATAAATGTTAGTTTACAAGACATCCATAATGTGAAGTGGTTACCATCACAAAGCATAAGAAAATTGACGCATTATGCCCTATAGTGCTGGTATGTACTATTAACATTTTAAAAACCAACCCTGGAAGGAAAGCAAATTAGGCAATGAATGTACAGCAGTCAGAAACATCAAAGTTTGGTTCCAAGGTTAACAAGTAGAAATAACCAGGAAAGACGTTAACAAACGTGGCACATGTTAGTCTAGTTTATTACAAACTTTCAGCAAAATGAAACGTCTCAGGCTATATTTAAACTTTCCCACTACAATTTGCTCGCACCATCTCACTTAATGGAAAGAATATAATATGCAAAAGTTGCACTCAGTGACTCTGTACTGCCATGAACTAAGTGTATAAAAGACAACACAATCCCACCTTGTCCGGACCCGAAATGATCAATACAATGAACTAAACTTGAAATGATCCAGAAAAAACTTAAAAACTGAAATTGACTAAACAGCACAATTTATAGGTCTGGTTAAAGGTATAAGGGCATGCATAGTAGGAAAAACAGAAGCAGGCTTAATCGCACGTCCCTTGTAAGGAAACCACATCTAAAATGTCTTATGAAACGATCTACTAGTGGTCTCTTTTCCTCAATATGCTTCTGACACTCGAGTGACTAAGTACGTAGTCAGGGTTCAGAAAGAGGCCATATTTTCCATAATCAGGGGCGAGTGACAGAATACTGATTCGTGTGTGACACAATATACCCAATCGTTTCTAACTTATATTATCATATATCAGGGAGATCATATCTTTGTAACATGTCTAAAAGGAAAATTCTGAATAAATTAGAAAAAAAGTATCAAGGCATCACTGGCTAAATAATTTGCAATCTACTCAACTATTAACTTTATTCTATCAATCATACAATCAAACTCCATCATTCCAATGCTATTATAATGTAAAACAAGCAACCAGAACAAGAAAACAACTTTGAGAAAGTTACTCAAAACAAGGAAAAATATTTACAAAACATAACAGAACTACTTTGTGCAAATTCTAAACACAGCAAATTTAGATACTAATGTTTATATAAAGATCAGAAAACCAACCGAATGTAACAAGAAACGCTTGCTCTTAAAACAAAATAAAATATCTGCAGCATTAATAAAAAAGGTAACAGACATATATAAATCCTTAGCAGTGCTTTTAAATAAAGACATTTTAACACATCAAAAAGATACCCAGAATGGGTTATAGGCAACAGATTTAGTCACCCTTTTTCCTAAAAGAGCATCCTTCGGTAAGTCTAGCTTTACCACCAGTTGGTTGGCATAGAACTGTCTGGCAATTACCACACACCACAACGGTTTGAGAGTGGCTAAATACAGTTGTTCTGCAAAAAAGAAAAAAGAAGAGAAAGTGTAAGCACCGAATTTAAGATGTGAAATACTGCTTAAAGCGGTAAATCTAAAACCCAAAAATCCTATGTAAACGTACATATTGAAGCAGCCTTGACATTTAACATCCTTTTGGAAGAGAGCAACAAAAACAAAACCAAAAAGTCAATTCACCATATAGAGTAAATCATTGATATGAAAATTACGAGAAAAAGGTTAGATATATTACCATAAAGAAGGAATTGGGAGACTGAACAAGACGCTTGAGCTTGTGCTTCTTCTTCTCAAGCTCGGCTGGTGGATTCAACAAATCAACATCGTTTTGGAGAACCTAAAATCATAACAAAATACAAACAAAATAAACAACCCATATCCATATGTTATTGGTTTAAACATAAGAAAAATTCAATGAATAAACTAGAAATGAATAGAAGATGTCTTAAATTAAGTAAACAATGAAAGAATGAATGAACGAGGGGAGATTTACCATGATTGCGAGTGGTGAGGGATGCGGCGCTAGGACTTTGAAATTGAAGCTGCGGAGTGAGAAGCTTTCAAGAGACGAAGCGCTCTGAAATGGATTTTAGGGTTTGGGTAGTTAGGCTCGGAGTGCTTTTATTTTTTTGTTAATTGCTCGAGGCAAACCCCAAACTATGTCTTAAAATTTAAATTAGTCCCTATATTTTAAAAAAATCTAATTAAATCTTTAAACTATCAATATAATTTCAATAAAGTCATTTTGTCAGTCTAGTCATTAATTTAGACACTAAATGTCAACTTAGATATATTACAAAACATATTTAAAATTTGTATATCAACTTAGTCATTTTGTCAGTCTAAATTAGACATATTTAATTTAGATATTAAATGTCAACTTAATTTTATGTAATAGCAAGATGGATATTTAAGCTCTTCTAGAACAAAATTTACATTGGGCTAAACTCTACAATCATTCTGCGGATTCCAACTTATTGAACTCCTCTTCATTGCCAGAGTTGATAACTTGGCAACCTCCATACCCCGGATGGATCAGTATTAATATTGACGCTGCTGACTCTTGTATTGCACAACATAGTTCTATAGGGGGTTGTACCAGAGATCATGAAGACCACCCCATTATGTCGTTTTCGAGGAATCTGAGCATATCCTCCGTCCTCAATGCCAAATTATGGAGTGTTTTCGAGGGTTTGTGCCTCGCTTGGGATATTGGTTTTGAACGCATCATTATTCAGAATGATAATGCGGATATGATGAAGTTTCTTTCTCCCCCTTCCAACAAGAGTACGTTTACCATTGTACGTGCAATAGCTGCTCTCTATGGAAAACTTGGGTCGATAGAATTCAAGCTTATCAGACGCGAAGGCAATATGGTTGCTGACTTTATGCCAAAAATAGATGGAAATTTAACCGAGAGCCGTTCGATTTTTACTGCTCCCCCCAGTTTGGACAGTCTCCTCCAAAGAGATCTATTCGGCCCACCCTATGTTCCTTTGAGTAGCTCCAATATGCAATGGTTTTTGTCTCCTTTTTATAATTAAAAAAAAATATTTGTGTATATCAAATTTAAAACATTATGCATCTAGATGTTTTAAAAAAGAATCCTAAATATTAACAATAGTGTCAGTTTTTAATACAATAAATCAAAATTATCCATAAAATATATTTAGATTTTGATTCAATAGTTTTTAATATGTTTCACATCAAACACGAATTAACATTTAATGCTCAAGTAATTTGTTTAACAAACATAATAATGTGTTTAAAATGATACTAATAGTTTTGGGGAGTCTTTTAAAATGTTTCAAAGTTTGGGATTAATTTATAATTTAGATATAATTTGGGGATGTTTAATGCAACTAACTCCTTTATTTTCTATTTTTTTAAAAAGGGTAAACTACCTGAATGATTACTCAACTCTTAGTACACTATACATTTTGGTCACCATAAAAATCCTTTTAATTTGGTCACGCAACTTTTAGGTGGTATGGAAATGCTTTTATTATATTATAATAATATATTTTTGATACAGTGGTATGAAAATGCAAATGTTCACATGAGATTAAATGTTCAAAAGCTTTTTATTAGATTCTTTTGCAGAAGTAAGATTCTATTTTATTAATCAGTAAAATAAAATCTGTACAGCAAAATTAATGGTGCATGATAGTTGCAGTAATATAAGATTTTCATGTCTGGGTAATATCTCGAGATGAAATATATCAGCTACAATACAATCTTCAATGAATTTTCCCTGCTGGATGATATTTCAAGACGAAATTGATAAGTTCGGAAGCCGATAGTCGAATAAGCATATTCGATTCGACTTGTAATTCATAGCTTGTAATCTAAACCAGATCCATATTTCCAAGCCTCAAGGTGTCTATTCCATTCATACTTCATCTTTGATGGCATACCATTTAACCATGACCTTGCAAAAATGCAAAGAACAAATTGGGATTCTAAGCAGATTTTGTATAAATGAAAAGCACGTAAGTGATTAGTTAAGAACGAAATGTTACCTTATAACAGGATCCATGTTGGTTGAGAGAAATGTATAATATCCTAGCATGAAAAAATGTCGAGACCAGTCGATAAGGACAGGAACATCAACCTGTACATGAACACACGTATTCGATCACGAGACTGCAGCAGATAGATTCACTAATGCACTTAAGCTTCTCAAGGATTTGTTAGCTTAGCTTCTGGCAATCCATGCAAATCCAAACAATAACAGAACAAGACCCTCTTTTGTTATTAATTTACCTGCTTCAATATAGATGGAAGAATTTGAGGTTTAGATAGCATTACAAGGCCTAATGTCTTGGCAAGAGGTCCAAACTGTATCACATCCTGTGTCACAGCATAGCCGGCAATGAAGAATCAACGGCTGAAATTCTAGATATACGAGCACCGGTGAACATTCGAAAGAAAAAGTAGGCGCTAACCTGAAGAAACGGTCTTAGCACGGGAACCCCGAGTCTCTAGAGAAGAGGAAGAAAAGTTCATTAGGCAATGACGTAACAAATATGAACATGAAGCAGGGTAGGTAATTGTTGGCTTTAAGCATTGGAAACAGTTTTCTTGCCTGCATACTCTTGAAGTTTATGTCAAGAAGCTCATTAATAAAATCCGGCGGAACATTAGACTGCAGCTTCGCAGACATCGCTCTTTGAAATAGCCACGAAGCACTCAAGTTAGGCTGCAGCAAACGGATTTAATTAGATTCCAAAAACCATAAGGGAAAGCCACTTAAACCTTATACAACCAAAAAGAAAGTTACTGACCATGTAAGGATTCAGCAGGGACAAACTGTACGAGTCGAGAAAATCTCCATCGATTGCTTCATAAATCCCTGCTCTTGAAAAAGTTAAACACATTTTTAAGCTGTCTTATATCTACAAAACCATATATGTTTCACTGAGTCGAAGAGATTAAAACAGCTTATTTTTCCCCTGAGGTTTTGGTTACCATGTACACTTTCCTTTCTGAAATAGTTAAAGATGCATGTTTTCCGATTCCCCCACCAACAACTCTACGGTGGTGCAGTTTTAAGGACAATGGACGAAAAAGGAAGAAAAAAGGAAACTGATCGAAGTCGACCGTCTGTAAGGAATTGTAAACTATGCATGAATCGGAGTTTATGCATTGTGATTTCATTTACAGTTACTCTTAAAAGTTTATCTCTTCCTGAAATGATTTTGTTAAATCCATGAGAATGTGTAATTAAGCACTAGCTATCAAAATTACCAAATAACAAGAAAAATACCATTTGATAATCTTCCGAGGTGCCTAGTCAAGCTCCCAAAACCACCAAAAGAGACGGGTGATTGTATGCCACTAGCATCACCAAACTGTAAAAAATAAATTCATGAAAAATGCATTCTATTTCAGATGAATCTATTGGAAGATTTCAAAGTTTATAGGAAAAAATAACCTGTAAAACACGATTAAATGCCGCTGGCAATGGACTGTCAAGTTGATCACATAAAACACTCAGCATATTTAACTCAAGCGAACATCAAGAAAATATTACATTGATTTGATATAAAAAGTAAAGACAACCGACGAGCTTGTTTTGAAAAAAATAAAACTGCTAAGGTTTACAGAGAGAATAGGACACAAAATCTTTTATCAAGTCGATAATCTATAACAATCCTCAAGTTTGATCAAACATGACATGATCATTATGTTAGAAAAGTTTAAAGAGAGTTTCTCAGGTTTTCACCATGAAAATATGACTGATATTGCTCAAAACTAGATAAGATAAAAGCATTTGTAACCCTATTAAAGTAGAATTGGCGATTAACGAAATCGTTACCTATCACGATATGTTGGGAAAATGCCATATATAACTCTCAGTGTCTCCAGATTATCCAAAGAAACTCCCTACACAAATATAAGTCATAAATTCAGGATAAAGTATTTGTATAAAGAGACAGATTCTATAGCAACCAGACCAACGCATGTTCTCTCTTGTTTTTTCCTTTTTCCCCTTATTGTTGTTATATGCTACTATGTCACTCAGACTAGGGTGTGAGTGTCGGACATGACTATTAAGAAACAGGTATGTTCATTTTTTTCGAGATTTCCATGAACATGAAGCGTCATTAGAAGATCATATCCACATACCCGTTTTTGGATATGTGATAGACATGGATGTTAGACACAAGAACTTCAAGAAAAATGATGATTTATAGCAACATAGGTTGACAAAACCAACACATGCATTTTTTTTTCAATTTAATTCAAGAGGTAGTTGATGCATTTAATAAAAAGTATGTCTAAAAGTAGCACCTTATGCCCTGCCCTGTTTAAGAACTCGTTAGCATTTGTCCAAGAGTAATTATTCTAGAATTACGCATCAATCAGTACTATGTTAGATGTAAAATTTTGGCTACTAGCAACTTTTAACCTGACAACTTAGCCGTGGAGCAATCGGCCGAGTTGATGGTGATGAGGGTAAATATATGTTAATATAGCCTTATAATATGTAGCTAGGTAGGAGATCAAGAATTTCACCGCAAGAAAAAGTGAATGAATCAACATGATCAAGATGCAGCAGAATGATGAAATAGAATTGACTGCAGATCAGTAAATGAACCTGATATTTTGGCATCAAATCCCAATAGTCTTCTAATAGTTCTTCTAGTTTTGGGGAACTCGGTTGAGGATCAACATAAGTAAACATGTAAGTAGTGCGATCTAAGGGACCAGACCCAGCTGGAAATGCCTATAAAATATGAAAATGTACATTTGTCAAAGGTTTAACATTTCCACTCAATGTTAATTCTACTGCAAAGAGCCAATTTACCTCCCAAAAGTATTGTACTTCTGCATTGCCAACTTTCTTCACCGATGAACTACTATATATGACATCACTTGTAGAGTTCTCCTTAAATCCGCGAGCACAGGAGCCAACGACAAGACAAACACCATCTGGTTTCCTCCCACTTCTAATCTGTAATTGGAAAACAGAACATCAATATACGGCATACATAGGCTTGAGCATATTCTACCAAAGGGACTTGATTTTCCCCTCATTCACTGGTAAGTTACCAATCCAAAAGTTTCGTAGAACAAAGTCATATGAACATATTTTTTGAATCTCAAAAGTACAACTATTAAATAAAAGCAAGCACATCCACTTGATTAATAAATGGATGTATCATGGCAAAATTAGTAATGTTGTGTTTAATTAATCCTCCAATTCCACATAGTAGGAGCATATTCAACACCTATATGAGATATACATGAACTATATATAAGAAAGGAAACCTAACCTGTTTCACCACAGGAGAAAAATTTCCCATGGCATCAATGACAAGACGAGATGAAAGAATGTTTCCTTCAGCAAGTTGCAAGACCTGTAAACAATAGGTGGCAACAAGTAATCGTCTTAGTTGTTTATTAACAGAGAAATCTAATCCAAGTTTGCAATTTATTAAATATCTCTCAAGGTTTTAGTAGTATTGTAGTGTTAATACAGAACTCTCATATGAAATAAGGACAATGTTTTATCAGGTGTGCATGAAGAGTCCCCTGCACGATATTCTGTTTTACAAATGGAAAGTTTTGACCTTTACTACAAATTTCGGGGATGTCATCCATCAAATTTAAGAAAGAAAACAGAATTAGTAGTTGACAAATGAGAGTATCGGTAATCTGCAATATTAACTAGACAACTTCGGAAATATCAGCGAACTCACAGCTGCATCATCATAAATGCTTATGTTGGACACACTGCAACCCTCGAAGATAACTCCACCAAGGGAAACAAAACGTTTCTTCACAATCTCTATAAGCTTTGCAGGCCTGGAATAATGGACAGAAAAAATTAGAGACCGTCGTTAAGAAGTTTTAATTTACAATGAGCAAAATATTTGTTAATAACTACAGTGACCTCGGTTAAGAAAAACTATTGAGTTAACAATTATTATCCAATAATGAAGCATATAGTTACCACAAAGGAAGCCTCCTAATACTGAAATATGGATGAAAATTTGAAAACTAAAATTTTGGTTTATACAAACTTCTGCCTTCACTATTAACCACTTCATAAAAGATTCCATCAATGTGTTGAATCTAGGAGGTTTCAATAAACTTTCTGATTTTCCATATTCAACAGATGTTTCTTTTCCGCTAAATTATAGCTTGCAAATTTGTAAAACCATTTTCTTATGAAATGTAACATAAATGAATAACAGACTTTCAGTTCAATAAGGAAAATAATGTAAAATAATAATATCAATAGCTTCACTGTGCTAATATGTCGAATAAAACTAATTCAGGATTTTTACTGAAAGTAGGAATTAAAGTTTTTTTTTTTAATCAGAAGTAACTGTACAGGCTTTAATTCCTAGAAATTTCGTTTAATGCAGGAAAGAAATCAAAAATAACATGGCCAGCGCATTTGAAGTATCTCTTTGTTTACTTGCTAGCCGCACAGTCATTTCTTTTCATATCGAAAACCAACTTTGGTGTTGAGAGAAGCTGTTAGCAGAATTTGTGTTTGTAACCTTTTATTAGTTGATATCACAATGATCATTTACATCATGGTACAAATATTAAACATATAAATAAGTGAAGTCCAGAAGAATAGATCTGATTTTTAAAATGCAGATTCAAAAGAGGAGAATTACTCACGAGACACCGAGGTTAAGAATGTCTTCTACCCAGATCTCGCCCTTATTCTCAAATCCGCATCTGTTCTGAGCAGTTAATGAAATGAAAGACAGCTTCTACAAATGAGCCTAACCCGAGAAACACTAATCAATTCATGAAGTTCAGGAACTTACAGGATTGAATGACACAGCAGTTGCTTCTTCAATATCATTTTCATTCAAAATGCTAGCTTCTACAAGTTCCATCAACTCTTTCCTTGAGATATTCCATTCTTGTTCCCTCTGAAATCAATAAGTTATTAACATCTCCTTCAAGCAAAGCATTTTGAAGCAGATTATTCTTGCTATAAAGATCTCTACATTGAATTCTATATAAAATAAACCTTACCCCTTTTAATATATTTCTTTCCACAATACTGACTTTAAGACCTTTGGCAATCAAAGAAGTAGCAATGAAGATTCCCAATGTACCCCCGCAAACTACCACATCACATTTATCCACTTGTTTTCCAGCAAGAACAGACTGGCTAAACACACCGGGAAAGCTTGAAACCACCTGCTGTGGTTCTTGCTGAACTGCAAAGACACGTGAAGGAGATTTTTTTTTACCACTTTTAAAGCACAACTTAACAGTTTAAACATTGCTGAACACAATGTGACATACCAGCCTGAGTAGAGCAAATGCTTGACCAAATTTTGTCCAACCTCTTCAAGGAATTATAGGAGTATGCACCCCCAGCACCACCAGCCTCACCACCAACTGAAATGCTTTCCATTATCCTCTGCAATATCGACCAATTTTCTTTTTTCAAACTCAATATTTGATCACGTATTGTTCACCCACATAACATTTTTCCCCTTCTATACAAACAAAACAACTATAAATCGTTTTAAGGGGTGGATTCAAGAGAGTAACAAACCATTTGCTATACTAAACATAATCATAGGGTTGGAAATAGTACTGCTGCAAAATATAATGTTAACACTGACTGCTGCAATATCGACCAATTTTCTTTTTTCAAACTCCATATTTGATCACGTATTGTTCACCCACATAACATTTTTCCCCTTCTATACAAACAAAACAACTATAAATCATTTTAAGGGGTGGATTCAAGAGAGTAACAAACCATTTGCTATACTAAACATAATCATAGGGTTGGAAATAGTACTGCTGCAAAATATAATGTTAACACTGACTGCTGCAATATCGACCAATTTTCTTTTTTCAAACTCCATATTTGATCACGTATTGTTCACCCACATAACATTTTTCCCCTTCTATACAAACAAAACAACTATAAATCATTTTAAGGGGTGGATTCAAGAGAGTAACAAACCATTTGCTATACTAAACATAATCATAGGGTTGGAAATAGTACTGCTGCAAAATATAATGTTAACACTGACTGAAAATAAATTTGGTAATAAAATAGAATTTTGACTGTGCCGTGAAAGAACCACTTTCTTAGAAGCAAAATTGTCATGATTCAAAATTTGTACATCCAAAAACTAAAGTGAAAACTGATGGAATTGTTCTTCTCAGAACTTCAAAGAAAAAGAGAAAAACTTGAAGGATATTTGATACAGAAGTTTATAGGAAGAAAATGTGTTTGGATGGATTTAAGTGAGCAGAGATGTTATTTATAACAGGTTGGGAGAATAAACTAAAAAGGGGCATAAAGCATCCCATTAATTTTGATTAATGAGTTTTCTTCAATCAACTTATTATTAACAATCAAATCAATCTTTGTAATGAGTCTAGACAACTGTTGAAAATCAACCGTCAAAACGCTTTCATAATTTTAATAATAAATACTGAAACGTTCAGGTACACAAATATCAGCGAAGATTTCTCTTTCAAGTTTAAAACTTTTAGAAAAATCATGTGAAGTTTTTCCAAAAATTATCTCTAGAAAGATTATAAATACATATCACGAATTGCGAACCAGACTAAGCGACGGAGCGTGTATGAGGAACAAGTTCATCAATAGTCAACAAGAGAGAAAGGAAGGATATATAAACCACCACACTTTCTTTACATATCCCAAGACATTGTGAACATTTCTAGCACAGCTTCTACAAAATATGCTTTTCAACTAGAAGTCCCTTTATTGAGGGAGTGTCATTTTCTAGGGAAACAACTAGAAAATCAAGTAGAAAAGTATAACGACCTGGGTTCTGGAGCGAACTGCTTGTGTTTGAGTACTCATGTAGATAGTTCCCCTTAGAGCTGTTTGCCTGTTTCTGTAAACCAATGGACGTTTCGATGGATACGGAGAGACCCCATTGAAGGGTCTCAGCGAGACCATCATCATTGTTCCAGAAAACATGTTGAAGAACTTCCAAAATCTCTACTTTTTTATTTATTTATTATCAAACCATTCAAAATGGAAAGGTTATGTGCAAGAGGAGAGGACACGTTCATGGTTGTCTTTTTCTGGTCTCGAAGGGTCCAAAAATTAAAAAGAAAGAAATGACCGAGAGAACCGGTTAGTAAGAGTGGTGGGTGACAGTTAAAAGGTCACCTCCAGGTGAGTTTAGAGATAAGTTACGTTTTCGTGGATAATCAGAGAAGCCCCTTAGCTGAAGCCTAAAAGGGGTTTTCGAAACAGCTTCACTCTGCTGTTTAGACATTTAGTCTTCGTCTTTGTCTTCGGCTCTACAAGTTTTACTTAACAAATACTTCAACAGGTAAACAAATTTAGCTTCTTTTCTTCTCTTCTTTTAGGTTGTCTTGTGATTTTGTTGTTCTATGTTTTTCTATTCCCTGTGTTTAGTGGCTAAGAAAATCTGGGAAAGTGAGGAGCCAAAAGACCTCTAAATAACCAGAAATAAATTTGAAGGAAACTGGAATTTGCTCGTGTTTTCATGCAATGCTGGCTCAAGAGATATTACTATAATCAAATCAACCAAAGAGATAAATCTTTGAAAACAATTTCCCTCCGTCTTTCAGTTAAATATCTGGGTTTTGTTAGCATGTTCAACGGCAATTTGGGATTAATTCATAATAGTTACCATTGACTATGCTTTAAATTTGCATCTAGGAATTTAAAGATGGCAAGTATGATATCTACTGCAAATCTTGGCTACCTCTCTTTCCAGAGAACCAACAGGTCCAACAACGGTGTTGGTATTGGAAATGGGGCAACTTCAGCTTGTGTAGTAAAAGCAACGAGAATGGAGAAACCATTAGAGGAGCTTTACAGTGTGAGGGTCGAAAGGAAAGTGTCAAAAGAGCGATTAACAGAGCTCGGGGTTTCGAGATGGTCGGTATGGAAGACAGGCAAGTGTAAATTGCCATGGGACTGGCAAGTTGATCAGCTTGTTTACATTGAGGAAGGGGAAGTAAGGGTCGTCCCCGAAGGTAGCGATCGGTTTATGCAATTCATTGCCGGGGACCTTGTTCGTTATCCCAAGTGGTTCGAAGCCGATCTTTACTTCAATGGTCCATACCAAGAGCGTTATAGTTTCCGAGCTTATGGAGATGATTAGTAATAGCTTTCAACACATGTTTGATGATTGTTCTGCATTTGTTCACTTAGACATAACAATTCGTGTTTGTCATGTTCGTGTATCGTGTTTAAGCAGTTATTAGAAAACCCGTAGTCTCTTGTATTGAATTCAGACCTTCGTCGTAATGGTTTTTCACTTAATTCTTTGAATTAGGAAATATCAATAGAAAACCAAGCTCCAAAAGAACAAATTTTTCGACCAATCATCACAAATAAATATGGTGGGATAGTAACAAATTACAGCAGCAGCTAAAACATGGCATGATCACACGAACATATCAAGATTTATATAAAACTAATTATTAAGATGATAAAATTATATTAAGAACATAAGAAGATAACAAGAATACATGGTTTACTGGATCCGTACAGTAAGCAAACAGAGGAAGAAAATATGTATCCTTGAATATAATAGTAAATCCAAAGAAACGTTTTTATAAACTATAACCCTTATGTCATAATACAGGAACTTGAAACTTAATCATGGAAGAGGAAGGGGGAAGAGGAAGATAAAAATATGAGTAAACCCAGCCAGAACATTTAAAAAGAAGAAGAAACATTGATATCCAGGGAATCCCACCATTTGCCATTCAGAAGAGGTCGGAAACTTGCTGTTAAAAACAAAAGCGACATCAACCAATTCCCATGGTGCTGTACCATTTCGGCTGCTCCCTGGACTGGAGGATCATTTCACTATTATGATGGATTGAATGATTTCTTACAAATTGCATTTGTTGCATCTCTCATCGACCTGTCGTTGCCTTTGGAGTTGGGCTCGTGTCGATGACAATGGAAGAGATGGATCTTGAAACCAGTACAGCCTCGTTGCTAACAGCTTTAGATGCAGCCACATCTTCCAACCGCTTCCAGATTAGTTCTCGCTTCTCCTGCATATCTTTTCCCTTCGCTTCATCTTCTTGGAATCTGGCCAAACATTCATCAAAGAGGGCTTGATCAGCATCCAAGAATATCTTCCGCACATTCAATGTGAGGCTCTGAACCACCGTATTCCAATGGTGACGCATGTTTCTCTCCAATGCTGGGAAGATTATAGGGAGTATTACTGTGCGGTTCTGAGTGATGAGATTTCTTATGTGATCATTGTTCCACAAGAACAATGCACGTTCAGCTACCTGCCAAGATAACATGTTATAACAAATTAAAATACTCAAACCAGCATTATAGACCAAAATTCACCGGCGTAGAACATTCCTTTTAAGCAAGGATGAGCATTCATGGCAGTCAGTTCAGACTAACATTTGAATGTGTTCAATTCATTTAAGGCTATTAGAATAGGATCAACCTTCTAGAACAAAGAATATACAACTCATTAGCAAAATAACCATCAGCCTCTCAACTCAAATATAATAAACTATTGGTTGAAAACTTATGGTCAAATTGTATAGAAGGTTTGAATGGATTTATTCTCTTTACTATAATTTTATTATCTCTAATCTCAATACTTTTTGAAATGTGTTCTCATTTTGAGGGTAACGTCTATCCGTTCATTCCGTCAATAATTTATGGTGGCTTGTTTTTCAAAAAAAACATTTTGAGAGTAACCTTTTGAAATGTGTAATAAATCTTGTTGTCATGTTGGAGGGGAGCATATTTTCCAATAAGATGTGCAAAAAACTCCAACAGCAACATTTGGGGAAGAAAATACAATAAAAGGCCGCAAGCAATGAAAAACAATATATTGCTATAATGATCAAGTATGGTGTAAATTAGTCATAGAAGAAGGCAAAACGCTATAACAGAATCTGACAAGGAAAAGCATAAGAACCTGAAAATGCAAGCTGTTGAGGCACCCACCGATCTGACGGAAAAGGGGAACCATACATCGTTGGAATTCTGCTGCCTGAGTAGCTTCAAGAACTTCTTCCAACTCTCCAAGGAACATTACCTCCTTCGAGCTATTAGTTACAGGCCAATACTTTAGAAGGCCTCGGATGACGGTATCAGCCAGCTTGAAGTCTTTCTCAACAAACTGAGTAATGCAATAAGAAAGTTGCTGATGATACATTGAAACACACTTGGGCTTGTGAAGAGGAATCAAAACGCGGACCAAGAAGAGCTTGTGCTCTTCCTTCAAAGGCAAAGCAAACCCATTGATTATACTCCCCAAGATTTCAAGTAATTCAGCAATACCGTTGTGTTTCTCTGTCTCAAAAATAAACCTGTAGAAGATATTGTTGATGGCTTTTCTAATGAATGGCCGATGGACCATGAACTTCCCATAAATCCGATGTAGAATTGTCTTTAGGTACTCCCTCTCTCTTTGATCATCCGAATCAAATAAATCCAACAATTTCAACACGAATGGATGATCAATATATCTCTTAGCAAGCTTAGCATCAGTTTCCGGTGAGACAATAAATCTAAGTAAAAGTTCATAGACAATCTGAAGATGAGGCCAAGCAGGATCCATGGCTGGCTCTTCATCTTCAGCGTCATACATTTCTAGAATCTTGCTATCATGATTCGGAGATGGAAATGTTCGAAATAGATTAGCAGACACCATTCTTGTAATCTCTTGCATTGCAACCTCATTGAACTTGGTTGAAACAGACAACACATAATCAACAAGCTCCAACAACGTCTGCCGCTTTATGTCTTTTTCTTTGAGGTTTTTAGATGGATCACTAAAATCGAAAACCACATAGCACATGCCCAACTTCCTAAGGAAAAGATTCTGCTTTTCTGAATTTGGGACATCCCGGAAACTAGGCAACGCCTCATAAACCCCTGAAGCTAATACAGGACCAGCTTGGATTGCAAGAGGGGCTGTTTTCTTCCCATAATTCGATTTATTCGAACTGGATGAATGTGAATTAAGAGGGCCATTGTTCGATCGCGATGAACTGGAGGATTTAGAAGAAACCGAACCGGGCTTGGAGTTGTTCAAAGAATTGGGACCTGGAGAAGAATTCAAAGAGGAATTACCATGGACTCCTCCATCACCATTTGAATCATTATGGGATGATTTCGATGGTTTCCGAGGTAGCTTTCCGAATATCTGCTTGATCATATCTAAAAAAGCCCTAACCCTAAATCCACAATTATCTAAGGTTCCAAAATGAAAGGCTACAGATAACAAACATTTCTTTTATACATCATTTACATATTCAAGCATCGGACAGTAAATATTGGAAATTAAAGAAAACAGTGCAATAATATGTACAAAAAAGAAGATCTATCCAGAATCTAATGCCTTTAATATTGCAACTTTCTAGATTAAAACTAAGGCTACAGAAAAAGACGAACGGGTTTTTCCCAACTTGCAGTTGATGAAAAAATTGAATAGATCCAAAAAGCACAAGAAACGAGCTAAAAGGGGAAGAAAAAAGGAATAAGAGAAAACTAAGCCCCTAAAATGATCTATATAATCATATAAACCCTAGAAACAAATTCGATTCATGAGACTAAGAAAAGTAAATACTACAAGGCAACAAATAGAAGAGAGGAAAAAAGGAATTAGAGAATGCCTAGCAAACCAAAAAAAACTATAAAAACGGTAGCGAAATTAAGATCTTTCCCTCTGCTCTATCTAAATGGGATTTTAGTTTTCTGTTTGGATGGAAGGAAAATAGAAACATAAAAAATCACGGGAAATTGAGGTTTTCGGACGGGCATATGAGGGCAGAAAGACACTTTCAAGACAAAAAAGTGATATTACAATAATGGCCTTGGTTTTATTTAAGCTAGACCGGTGATGCTGATTCAAATGCACCTATTCTAGAGGCGATAATGGATCCGATTAGATTTTTCCGTATTTTGAAATTTTGAAAATCATTTTCTGAAAATAAATTACTATTTATTCATATTTTTAAAATTAATATTTTAAAACATTATCTTAATTTCCATTTGCATGAAAAATGGACAAGAAGTTACTACCTTTTAATTTAATTTATGTTTTTTATTTTTATTTTTAAATTTAATACCATGTTCGAGTTAATATAAAATTTTACTTTACAAAAACTATCCATTTTAATCTTAAATTTTATAATTCATAATTAAATTTTAAAACAATATATTGTTAATTTGAGCGGTGAAACTAAAACCACCACTGGGGTTTGTCGGTAAAACATTGTTTTGCGTTTTGCACTGAAATTCAAAGGAGGCGTCAATATTTTATGTTATGTTATTACACGTTTATACCAAAACAATGCATTGACAAATTCATATCACAATTTACTTGTTTTTTCATTATAAATATGCCCCCCAAACCAATTCTACCCCAACCCACCACGCAACTCGCCGCCTCCACCTTTAAAAAATTATCATGTGGCTGGAAATTTCAGGTTTTAATAAAATACATTATATTTTATATATCTCATTAAAACTAGTCAATACTCAATACCATATCAATATATATAACATTGTTAGTTCGGTTTAACCAACTACACTAATTTCTGTTTATTTTAATTCAGTTAGTTCGGTTTAACCAAAGAACAGAGAAGATTTCCCCAATTCTCGAGTCCATGCAGCCATCGTTAAAGGTTCGAAGCTTATATTAACATTTAGCAGAGACTGCACTCGCAAGTCCAACCACACATACAAACATGAGAGAAAGTGGCAAATTATGAAAGATGAGCCTTTTTTAAGGGAGGGGTGCAAGCACAGCAACTTCTCTGCACTGTACAATTCCACCAAGCTAACAAAAACAATCTCCAAGCTAGTGTGCAAGAAAATTGGTACCTCCTCGTTTTCGCATTTACCACAACGGGTTATCTCCTCCGACGTTTTGGTTCCACCTAGCCAAAAGAATGAAATACAAGATCAAATGCTTGGCAGTATTTACATTGCTAAGACGAATGGGGAAAGAGAGAATAGTTTGTCGATATGTTAGACGGCGGTGTTAGAATCAAACTTACAACCAAAATGTCAAAGGATCAAAGTAGTTGATCTATTGTAATAATTAAATCAGAATAAAACAATTGCTAACTAGTTGGATTTCCTCATGAAGAAACCAGATCTCGGGAATATACACCACATGCCGTGACAGAGCAAATGGTAATCAAAACCTTCCCAAGCATACATGTAACTACGAGTCACCAGCAAAACTCGAATGTGCTTTACCTTTGCAACCAAAATGCACTCCGTTCGGTATCTACGAAATCAGGGATCACACTACCATCCATAATACCAAAAGTCCAATTCAAATATTGCTACTTCAAAATTGATTTGCATATTTTTATTGTTTCGTAGTGGAGGCTAATACATACATATATAAGATAAATGTTATCTTTTGTACTTTTTGAAAATGAATGTATCTCTAGCGTTTCTGAGGAGGCCTTATGAATATATTCTCACAATTTAAAAGGCATATCCTCAACTGCAAACTGCAAGCAAGGAATGATTGATTACAGTTGTGTTGCAGGAGAAAAACTTGGAGCTAACGGCTGCCGAAAACTAAACAGAGTAAAATAAGAAAACAAGACATATTTATGTATACACGCTGAACATACTGCTCGAACCTTTACCTCAAGAGATGGCGATACTGGGAATGTATTCAAAGATCTTTTGGCATCAACCTCTGAAGTACAATCAGAACATAAAAATTGATCCAATCTTTTTGCTTCGTCAATGGTCATATCCATGCAGGAAGGATGAAACCTAAAAACACATCTTTAATTAGGAAAATATGATAACCCAATTTCATGTAAATCAGGAATATATATACACATATGCGCACACGAACACACACAGTACAATGGAATCACAGGCAAGGAACTGAAAGGAAAATACTAAACATTCTAGCGGAACTTGAAAACATGTCTTGGGACCAAAACTGTTTTTCATTTCCAGCAAAAATATTTGGCAAATAACTCATGCAAAGTCCCTTGAAGTCAACATTGAACCACTGATAATTAGAAAGTTTATACCAAAATCTACTTATCGACTAGCCAGTAGTACTTCCAGTCCATATGTGCCCACAAGTAATTAGAAGTACAACTCAATGCTGAGATATTGGCAGTCTGGCAGACCAAAACTAATGTAATGTAAAATAAAAGGTAGGCAGCATACGTTTAAAAGGTTGAATACATGACACACCTAATGGCACACCAAACAGCACGTTACATTTGGTAACATTACAAAATTCAAACTCATTAAGTTCTTATTAAATACGTCTACTTTCTTTGTCTACGACCAAGAAGAAAGATAACTACATTGCACTTTTCATTGTAGTTTTAGCTTTTGCAATATTGGATAACCTAAAAAGTTAATCGGCAAATAATATAGGGCTAAACAGTCAGAAGTAACATTATTTTGCAATGCAAACCCTGTAATTTGTTCACTTAAGGTAATTCAATAATGTAGTGAAAACGAAAGTTTTCAGGAGATCAAGGCACCAACACTACAATGGTTCATGTGAAAATCTCTACACTCCACTACCGGCTGACATTACCAGAAGCTAAATCCTCAATTGCAACAACTATTTTTCCATAAAATATCAATCAACTAAAACCTTATTTGATTCATTAGTTATGAACTTTTATCAAACTTTAAATCATAAAACTACGACCATTTACATGGTGAATTAGGTAAGGTGAAGACCAAAAGAACCTAGAATATTAACATGGAAATGAACCATGCTGAAAAAAACAGAGTTGATCTAGCTCATACTTTTCTGTGTCTTAATGAATCTACCATTACAGCTCACTAGAATGCCTTAAATTAACTGATTTCAGTCAAAACAAAATTACAGCAATATAGGAAGTAGATTTTTGTCGATACTATACCAGATAAAATAGGATCCATAAAAGTCATTGTAAAGTAACTTCAGAAAGTAATGAAATTATTTCCACAATCATTATCAGGTAAATGAACACTATCACAGTATTCAATAATGGAAAATCATTCATCATCCTATGTTCCATGACCAATGCAATTAGAAATCAAAAGTATTTACCATGACAAAATACACATAAATATCCTTTAGCTTCAAGAGCTTTCAGTCGGTTATTCAAAAATATTGCCAAAGAAACCCAAACTTGTTAACCAAAACAAGCTAGTACAACCAAACTCAATAATGGCCAATGGAAAAGCATTCATCAATGAATGTTCCGTGCATAGTGGAACAAGTAATTAAAATATTTGCCATGGAACAAAACAAAAAATAAGCTCTTGAAGCAAAATTAAAAAACCACTAAAAACTTGTTAAATAACTTGGGCAAAATTAAATAACTAGAGCCATCAAATATTCAAAAAAGGGTACTGAAAAAACCAAGATTGTTAATAACTTGGAGAGACTTCAAATTAAAACTTGAGCAAAATTAAATACAACATTAATTTGAAACTTTTTCAGCAGATAAATCATTACAAAAACCACTAAAAACTAATGGATTCAATCTACAGTTCTTCTACACACAAACGTGATTACATGGGCAATGAGTTTACCAATCCTTGCATCCCTCGCATTGCACCATGAGGTCATCCGGGTTATATGGCATCTCACACTTGCAATACCTTCAAAATAGAAACGAAGGAGAATTAATGAACGAACTCTAAAACGATACAAGACAATGGGGAAAAGTACACTGAACTCAACCCAAAAACACAAGAAAAATCTAAACTCACACTGCCACCCGATCGGGAGTGAAGCCGCCGGTGGCAGCCTTATATTCGAACCTACAAAAGTAATCTTCGGCACCAACGTTCTCAAGTTTTGTATAGTTTTTGAAAGTGTGTACCACACACTTCCCTTCAATGGTGTGTGCACTTTGCACATCATAATGGTCTGATAAAAATAGCTCCTTGGCTCCATGGAATTGTCTTCTCCCTCCAATTGATTCCTCTGGCCTATAGTACCATCGAACTCGAAACTTCACATTGTTCCGATGATCGGAGTCAATCTTCTCCACACGAGCCACATACGGTGGCTTATCGGAGTCCAATGGTCTCATCAGCACACAATCACCAGCTGCAAAACAAACCAACTATCAAAAGCCAAAAACATTTATTGGTTTGAAATATAAAGACCTATAAGAAAATGAAATTCGGGTTCTCTTTGAAATGTAAAAAGAAAAACAAAAGAGATGGGTTTAGAGAGAAACATACGACGGACAACTTTGTTGGTGCCTTTGATAGTGTAGGAATCAAGGTCCTTCTTGCCAGGTTTGGTCTTGGCCATTAAAAGGGTTCTTTTTTTGTGAACAAGGAATGTGAATTGAAATGCGAGGAAGATAAGATTTTTGGAGGCTAATTTTGTAATGAAATGGAGTAATGAAGGGAGAATTGAAGGGATGAAAGTGAAGGAATCAAACGATAGGGGAAAGTAGACAAAGAAACAAACCCTAACAACTGGGAGATAGAAAGGACTGTTGAAAGAGAAGATCCAGGCGGGGTCGGGAAAAATAGACAAACTAGTCATTAATTCTTTTTTGTTGCGACGTACGGATATGAACAAGAAGACACGTCAGCACCACCATACTCGCGTCGCGTTCACGCTCAAGCTCAAGCATGTTTACCGAGTAATAATCTTTTTAAGATCAAGTATGTAATTAAAATTTCAAAAACAAAAACATGCAATAATAATCCTACTCCTTTAAAAGTAATAATTTAACCCAAGTGTAAAGAACTAGTTCGTGAGTGAAAATATGGTTCTTCAAATGAATTATTAGATCGATAAACTAAAAGGTATTAAAAAATTGAACCAACAAATATTTACCATTATGCACAAGAACTAACCTTTCATTTTCAAGTGTTAAACAAATGTAGAAAAGTGCAAATATATTCTCCTCTCTACATTTTACATGAATTTTGAGTGCTTCTAGAGCTCCCTAGAATGTGATTTGATTTAAGTGGTAAAGAAACTGTGGAGGGGGAAAGAAATGGAAAAGAACATGAAATGAATTAGTACAATATTAAGGCGTCAAGATTTATTTTTTAAAATAAAAGTACAGTTATCCTGATAATGTAATGTTTATGGTCGAGAGGAAGTGGGCAACCAATACTTGTAGAGCAACTCATCCCAGGAAAATTTGGTTTTAAGAGCCCTAGTGGGATATTTCTCATCGTTTTATCCATTGGTAAGTTTAGTTCACTTTCTTGCTTCTCTGCCTATTCAGCATACTGGAACTTCTTTATTCATCTTGCTTGATTCAGATTTCAGAACCTAAAATTTGAAACAAAACAAAAAAAAAATCTCAATTATAAAAACAAATTTTTAAAACAAAGAAGGAAAAAATTAAACAGATCATATGAAGCCTCAGAAAGCCAGTAAAATTGACATCAAAATAAATGAAAATTCAGTCGTTAATTCCAACTATAATAGAATCCTCACTAGCTTCAACAAATCCATTTATTAGTATGATAAAAAAGAATGTAATCGCCGAAAACGGCTCCGTGGATCACAGCGAATCAGATCCATAGATTCCTATCAGCAAGCGAAACATGGAATTTGTTTCGGTCCAGTCATAGCATCGCCGGTCAAGGCTCTTGGCTACCGGCGACGTGGCATCGGACCCAACACTCTAAAAAGAAAAATAAGAAAATGATAAAATAAATCCAAGAACAAACCCTCAGAGACCCGTTCCAAATCACTCGCACAGGATAACAAACCTCGAGGAAGCCCCGGAATTCCCGGCCAACCACAAACCCAGAGTTACATGTTTATTATGAGCAACTTGGGGTAGGAATTTATAGAGAGTAGTAGAGTTGAAACCCTAGATCTCTAAATTGGATTTTGTGCAGATACGGAGCCTATAATTCAGGGTTTAAGTTTGTTAAATTGGGCTTAAGTTGCTGATTCGAAAAAAAGCCGAAGGAAGCTTCAAGTTTGCTATCAATAGGCCCAAAATGCTTGTCGTAGGCGATACAACCTCGACCACAATGTTTTCCTAATTTTAAAAGTACGATTAATATAAAAAATAAGTGATTAGATTATATTTAAAGTTAATTTTAGTTGTTTAAAAAAATCGTTAAAAATAGATATTTAACATTTTGAAATTATATATATATATAATATGTGTCATTTAACGACTGAATTTAACGGTCTAAACATCTAAAAGTCTGACGTCAAAAAAGTTATATATCTATTTTTAACGAAAAAAAAAGGAAGCACCTAAAGTTAAACTTTGGTATAGTTCGGACACTTATCTTTGCATTAAGTCTTGAAAGTACTAAAAAGTTCTTAAATTGATTTAATTAATATCTTATTCATTAATCATTTTGGTTTAGTGTCATTAGGTTGGTTCGAGTTGAACTTTTGGTTAATACGATCCGATTTAAAAAGCATATCTCGTCTACCCAAATCAATATGATATGAGTTCAGAAAAGTTTTATTGGACTTAAAATTTGACCCGAATTTTAATATAAAAGCTTACATATATTTAGACTAATCCAACATAAATATAAAAATATATAAAAGACAAATATAATTGAAAAAGATTATTGAGAGATAAGTATTATAGTAATTATCCTTAAATGTAAAAAAATTATATTATTATCTCAAATTGAATTATAAATTTTCACATTAAACATAAACTCGATCTGACTCACTCTAACTCTCTATAAAATATGATCCAAATTTGATTTTTTTATAAAAAAAAAGCTGGTCGTATTAAATTAAATCAAAATATCATATCTAAACATAAGGGTTCAAATCTTTATGATATAACATTTTATACTTGTTTGGGGTAAAAGCCTAATATTTTATCTTATTAGATTTAATAATTAATATTTTATCTTATTAGATTTAATAATTATTAGATAAACTATACAAATGGTTTTCAACTTATTGAATTCTCGAACTATTAAAAGTTATAAAAAATTCTTCGATTATAGGTTATTGATTTGTTAAGTCTCAATTATTAAAAGTTATAAAATGGTTACTCGACTATTCATATGTTATAAACTTGTCATTTTTCGTTAAGAAATGGTGGCCATATGAGCTAAACGTTAACTTGTTAATTTGGATAATATAAAATCTTTTTTTATGATGTGTATCAGCATCATCGTTGCTTTCAAGCACTGGTTCGATGGCATAGTGTTTCAAGCATTGACTCGACAACATAATATATACAAAGACTCGGTCCACAAAATATATCTCAAATAATTTTGAGATTAGATTTTTATCATATCCAAGTGAGCGAGTTAACATTCAGCTTGAACAACTGCCAATCTTTTAATTAAGAAGTATGAGTTCGGAACATATGAATAGTAAGATGATTATTTTGTAACTTTTAATAGTCGATGACTCAATAAAGTAACGTCTTATAATTAGGAACTATTTTATAACTTTTAATATTCGGAAGACTTAACAAATTAACATACTATAGTAGGAGGACCATTTGTGTACTTTACCCATAATTCTTTTTTCTTTTTATTAATAATTAATTTACATTTGAATAAACAGTGTAGGCAGAGGCCGGTCCGGCAAATCTGGGGGCTAGACTCCGTTCAAATTACCAACTTTCGTTTCTCGTTATAATACTCTGGAAGTAGTTTCGGATCTTGCTAGAGACAATAAAAGGGAGCGTTTGGGCGTGAAATGTCGACCGATACGACATGGGTCGGGAAGAAGCCATTGAGGCGCATCGGAGGAATGTCCGATGCTCTATCCATTGCCGCCGATCTTGGTTTCTCTGTTTCCCCTCCTCCTTCTCAGGTTATCCTATTTTCTTTCTTTCAATTCCATTCGATTTGCGTCAATAATTTCTTTTCTTATATGTTGTTTTTTGTTATCGGATATTACAAGTTCAAACACACGAATTTTGCATCTCTGAAACTCTCAAACGACACTAGTTTCGTGGGAATGTTCATGCCCTGTTATTCTGGTCTTTTATGCTAAGCAATTGAATGACATATCATCGTTACTTGCCGCAGTTTGTGAAATGGATTTGGGTTTTTGATGCTTATTTAGCATTATTCCCTCTTCCCCTTTTAATGGTCAACTAAGAAGAATTTAACCTTCAAAACCATATGATCTCTTTGCTGGAATTGTAAATTTAGGGTTCCCGAGCACCAGCTGAAGCCTCAGATTTTGATTTAACTAAGACATAGAGGTTTTGATAGTCAACAAACATGACAGCTCAATTGAAGCTCAGATATATTACCTCTAACCTAATACCTCGAGTGTTTTCTTCTTTAATTGTGTTGAATAAATGGTTTTTATATTGTTGTCTATGGAACCATAAACGTTCAAATTTGTCTGAATATATAGATATGTTGAATAGGTTCCCCAAATTCATTTGTTCCTTTTGTTTATATTTGTAAATCTTTCTATTGGCACTTTCTTTACTCTGATGTGTGATATACATGTTGAATCTTCAAGTTCATGGTAGAGCTAGAAAATTGATGGATGGATATGTTGAAATTGCATCACAAATAATGTTGTTTTTCTTTTATAGGAAGACGTGCAGAACTTATCATCTGCTACTGGAGAAAAGGGTGATGACTTGATAAAGGTATTAAGAGAGCTAACCAGTGTACAGAGAAAAATAGCAGATTTGCAAGTTGAACTCCAAGGCCGAAAGGTATGCTTCCCAGTTTATTTACCCCATCGCTTTCGTACTTATTGTAAGGTTTATTGTTTGGGATTTTCTAATAGTATTGCAGGTTTACTGTTGACCAGAAGAAATTAATCTCTTGAGTATTTAAGAGGGTTTGATTTCTATTTAAAAAAGGGGTTTGATTTATTATTAAAAATGAAACAAAAGAGAAGTTCAGTTACTGATTGGTTCGTTTAAAACAGAAATAAATAAATAGGAAACATATGGTAACACCTCGGTAGCATAATATGTTTATTTTACTCCATTTTTAGTATAATTTAAAAAAAAATTATATAAATTTTTGAAGCATTGTGTATAAAACAATGTACGTTTTTTAACTTAATATCACCGATTCGAGTACAGCGCAGGTTCTTTACCCACATGTCTGCTATTTGTTTTAACTGTTCCTTTTATGGTGTTCATAGGATGATAAAAATGTTGCACACCTTACACATGTGAGTGAAATGGAAAAGAAGTGTGAAACACTGGCAAGGATTACTACTATATTGAAAGATGTTATTCAAAATAAGGTAATTTCAGGTTTCTTCTTATGTACTTCAGCACGCTACTGTATGGATTGCCTCATGATAGTCATTTTGATGAGTTTTATAGGTATACACTCATATATGCAGTGCACGACTTCCATTTTACACTTAGTTTGAAATTTCTCTGCTTCGCTACTTTCTGCAACAATTTCTTTTAATCGTTTTACTTTGTCAATAGGGTTATGCAATTGGTTGAGACTTTATTTCCATTCGTATTAAGTTTTATTTCTGGTTTTATAACTCCCATGATCCTGACCAAATTTAACTGTCAAAGTTCTTATCTACCTGTTGATCGTTGCATAGACAATAACAGAGAACTATAAAAATGCACTTATGTCATTTATTGGTGATCCTCAAAGGCTTTGTTATTTATATTTGGGGAATTCAGACCACGCGACCTGTTTGTATTAATACCCTTGTGAGGACAATTTCATTTGCTTATCAATTTTGTCGCAAGAAACTTGTTTTGGAAACAGAAATCTGAAATTTGTCTATAGCATATGATGGTTCCTACTTCCTACAAGAAATATTTTTTTTCCCTTACATGTTAGATTCTTACTTTTCAGACCACACAACCAAGAAGACTCCATTTATTTATCTGACTATGTTTCCCCTCTTCATTATTCTGGCAGGATCGAATTATAGCTCGTCTGCAACAGCCATATTCCCTGGATTGCATTCCAGTAGAAGCAGAATATCAGGTATTCTCTTCATCTGTGGTCTAGTTTAACATAAGCAAACACACACAAATAAAGAAAGAAAGAAGAAGAGATTTATTGTTCTTGTTTCCTTGATCTTGGGATGATTGCATACACATTGAACCTCTTTGTCCTCATGCTTTTAGATTCTGAGCTATTGAATTTGGATCCGGTTGCTACTTTCATCATGCATTTTAGGTTTATTTTCGTGAACCAGAATATTCATATTTGGTGATGTTCACCTGACAAACGTTGAATTTCTTGATCTTCATAACATGATTGTGGACCAAGTACTTGAAGGTTATAGAATGTATTTACATGCAATGATGCAATGGTTTGTTGCCTTGTACATGTGAACCAACATATTCCACATCGAGTTCCAAATTTTCAGATTTTATGCAATTTTATATGGAAACGTAATCATTCAAAAACTAGACATGGTGATCCTTAAGATTTCATGACATTACAATTAGATCTGATAAAATGGTCTCTTGCGTGATTTTTTGTGTTTATGAAAAATCAGGAGAGTTAGATTAACTGTTATTGTTATTTTGGATTTGCACCACAAAGTTTTAGGTTATTTGTTTGCTGAAAGATAGAAGGGAACAAGTTATAAAAATAATTCATATTCAACGTTAAATAAAAAGTTAAAATTTAATGTCATGTCAAAACAATTGATGCATGGTGTAGTACTTACATATTCTTCCATACTAAAGATAAACTGAAAACAAGGACTATAGATTTAATTTCATTGCTAAAGGCCATTTTACTTGGATTTCTGCAGAAACAATTTTCTGAACTACTAATGAAGGCTGCAAGTGATTATGGTGCATTGACAGCGGCTGTTACTGATTTCCAATGGAGCCAGAACTTTAAGGAGCCTCCTTCAGTTTGGGGGGTAGGCTTAAATATACATTTTGATATATATATATATATATATATATACATACACGTATGACATCTTGCATGTCTTATCTGATGCTCTTGTTTTCCTCACTCAGGAGATGCTCCGTCCAATTCCGGTTGCTTTAGCCTCCTGCACCCGATTCTTCGAGGCCATGTCAGCAACAAGAGAGTCGTTTGCAACACTTCAAAATTTGAGAGTGTGGAACTCTGCAACCCCATTGTCAACAACACCAGCCAAGGATCCCTCAACACCACCCGCTTGGAAGAACGAAACAAGTATTGAGGACTTGGCTATCAAAAGCCTAAGAAGCCAAGAAATTGAACGCCAAGAAACAGACGATGAAAATATCGAGGTGGGGGACTTTGATCCGGTAGATGGTACCAGCCACAGGAGATTGTCTTGGCCTCCAACAGTTAAAAATAATGGTCTTTGATCTCTATCCCTATCTTGTAAGCATTTGTTTGACCTTGTTGGTTTCCTCTGTAGTCGGTAATGCCTTCAATTCATAGTAGTATTGCTTGCTTGAAATTTGTGCAAAATTAAATGTGAGTCTGCATATTATCTTTTTTCATTTACCAAACATATTATATTTACATTCACTGTAGTAATATAAAACCATGCAGGATGGGGTTTGATGTCAATACTATTATTAACAAAAGTATTCCTAATTAAGTCCATATATTTTTATAAGAATATAAACTCTGATCCTTCCAATGTCAACACTCGATCCACCCTGGATTCATCCAATGATTACTCAACATCGAATAGGGTGCTTGACCTTGACCATAGGCGCAGGGTCAAGCACGAACTCATCTCATTTAGCTTCCATTCAATAATCCTTCCACGATCAAAGACCTTGAAGGAGGTAGCCAATGACAGAATGGAAGAGCAGTTACAGTATTTCTATATTAGTGATGATATCGTTTATTTTTATAAACAAATAGTCCATACCTTTAATTGTTATAAAAACCAGATTTGACAAACTATCATCAACTTATTGTTATATATATTCTTATATTAGTGTTGATATCAGTCATAGTAGATAATAATATTTGTTTGTTTGTATCTATCATGTACCAATTTTAATTAAAAAAGATTGATAGAGGTAATAAATATTTTGACTTCTTCAACTTCTAATTGAATAAATACCTTCTTTTCAAGAAAATTACCCTTAATTGGATAAAAACATTTTTTTAAAAAAAATCAACAATAATTATAGATAATAATATATGGAGAGATAAATATTTTTAAATCATTAAACCGAATTCTAGTAAATCTATTTATAAAATCTTTAAAAAAAAATCACATCAAAGCAACAAATAATTACCTACAAAATAGCTAGAAGCTGCTAAACAGCCATCAAAGTAAAGGTGCAACATAAAAAAAATGTTCCAAATCCCATCTCATTAAGTAAACAGCAGCCATAAAAGCTAGATATTTCAGAGCCAGGCCAAGTTCACAACACTCCGTGGCCATGAGTCTATATATATACATAACATCTACATAATCAGAAAACAACTCTACCCTTTAAGTGATAAGAATAGTAAGCTAAAACTTGGCTTCACACAAATGAGAGCATTGTGAAAGCAGTTGTTCCACCGGTTTGGTGCAGCATAGCATCTATCTCATCACCATCCTCCATTTCTAGCTGAAGCCAAAGAGAAAAAGAAAATGAAATTTTCATTATGCTTTCGAACATATTCCACTTTGCAATGTGCACATCAGTACAGTTGTTCCTCTAAAAGAGAGAAAACGGAATGATACTTCATCTGGAGTTTGCTCGCCCCGAAGGCGGCGGCCATCGAACAAGAAGGCAATCAAGTTGAAATCCACAGACTGTCGGTCACAATATGCATTCATAAGCTTCTTCAGTTGAGTGCTTCTTTTGATCCTGAAGAAAACTTCATTCCCATCCTATGCTTGTCAAACAAAAAAAAAAAGAGAGAGAGAGAAAGGAGAGGAAATTATAATTTAGGCCAAATTAGAAGAGGAAGCATTAATCTGAGAAGTCCTTATAAATCTCAAATTCACTTCAACAATATGTAAACCTCAACCCCGGACAGATCTGAAGCTGATTTGATTTTTAGTATATGTGAACCAAATATATATACATATATATAATTTACTAGTAAATTAACAAAGTTTTATAAATAAGTCAAATGAAAGTGCGTTCATGGCCACAACAAAATAATCCAGGTCGAATATAACTATTCAAACCTTGAAATTTACTAAGCCCCATAACTTGATAAATAATTAACATCATTTCAACTTACAAATAAAAAGAAGACTGGAAATAAGTTGGAGATCAACTCGGTGAAAACAGATATCATTCCAACGTATGCCCACAAATGGCAGGGACGGATGTAAATCAGTCGGCCAACTTACAAAGACTTGAAGAAAGAAACCATTTGGAAACCAGCAAATTTGAAGTGAAAAAAAATGGTGTCATTATTATGCAAACAAAAAGACAAGCAGAAGTAAATAATAAACCAAATACTCTATCCTAAACATCTTATAGATGAATTTGAGAGACAGTATCTGGATTTGTTTTGTTACACAAATTGCGAGAGTGAAATGTCAAGTATGCTGAAACTAGTTAATATTCATTTTATACTATCCATATAATTGAAACATGTAACAAAATGAACTTGAAATTCACAAATACTCATAACTACTTGGAAATTACCATTATATGGGATTCAACAAATCCATAAATTTGAAAACAATCATAAAATTCATAGTTACATGTTTATGGTCAAATTTGATACTAAAAGAAAATATCATTCATTCTTTTTTTAATACCAATAGAAAATTTCCAATTATTGAACTCCATGAAAACAATAACAAGAATTACAAAGAACAAACTTTGCAACTACCCGATCGCAATCATATCGTCTTATTTAATCCCAAAGCTCAAACATCAAACACAGAAATTAAAAAAAAAAATTCGAGTTGTGAAATCAATATTTATCCGTATAAGCATAATTTTCTATGTGGCAATGAAAAATAAATAAAACAAACAAATGAAAACAGGAAAAGGAGGAAAATTTATCTCCCGATATTAAGTAAAGACTTGAGAAGTTCAAAGACCTGGCCTTTGACTTTGAGGTTGATGTGGGCGGCGGATTGGTCGCCGGGCTTCTTATCTTCCTCTTGCGGTCCCGACATTTTCTTCTTGTTGTTTTAGCCTCAGCGATTTCTGGTTCCGATTCTTAACTAATTCAATCCTTTATAGAATTAGGATTTTCTTTTTTATTTATCTGATTCCACTTTGTTTTTATCAAGGCACCAGGCTATTTTTTTAAATTTCGAATTTATGAATTTAATGACGTGTAAAATTATTACTGGACTGGGTTTTTTCCTTGTTAGAATGGCCTAATTGGCACCGGGTGAAGTTAGTTTAATTGCGAGATACTCACTTAAAATAGGAATATTCATGATCGGTTAATTATATCATTTAACTTAAATGATCGATTAATTGTTATAATAATAATTAAATTTTGTTAACTGTAATATACTCATTAAAAAAATGATTAACTGTTAATCGTTTTTAATGGTTTAATTTTAGGAAACGGTTAACTTGTAGTTAACCTATTATAACTTTTCTCAAACACAACACAACAAAACATGAAAATTTTAAGATTTTATAAATTTTGTGATGCTAAAAATATATATATATATATATATATATATATATATGGTTTTTATGTTTATAGAAATATATATACTACGAGGAATATTCGTGTTTTTTATAGTTAAAAATCTTATGTGCATGTTTATAGTTTACAGTTTAAAATCAAGTATTTTTTTCATCTATGTTTGTTTAATGTGCTTTTATATAAGATAAATATGATAACTAAAAATATAATAAATAACCATTTTAATATTATTTCTAATTCTATTCTTTAAAAAATATAATTAATTATTATAATTTATTAACTGATGATTAACCATTTATCAAGATTCATAATCGTAAGCGTAACTGTTAATCAGTACTTTTAACGTTTGAGTTAATCAAAATTGTTAAATATTAATGATTCACTTAATTAACCTATAAAATATAACGATTATATCGATTAACGGTAATGGAATAATTTGAACATCCCTACTTAAAAAAACCTTTTTATCTCGTAGGATAAAGCAAAATTTAGTTCTCAAGTGGGACAATTTTTATCAATTTATTTTTTAAAATATTTTTATATTATTTTATAAATTTGATAATTTTGCATTTTAAATTTTTTATAATGTGAAATTTTAAAATTTTATTATTATATCAAACTGTATAATGTCACATTATCAATATGATTAAGAGAAAGGTTCAATAATTAATGTAGATAAAAGATTTAGAAATTAAATTGAAAAATATTAAACTTAAAAATTAAAAATTATTTTAGTATTTATTTTGATATAAAAAGATATAATTTAAAAATAGTATTATTGTGTAGGGAGTAAATCTGAATTTTACTTAACTATCATTAAAACGAACTAAATCCTTTAAACTTTCAAAAAGTAACGGAATATATTTTTTGTGTTTTGTAAAGGTGTAGATATGGTAATGAGATATTTGTTTTTTTCCTAATTATCTCTTTAACACTAAATGATTAATGTTGCAGAGTCATAGTTGAAGACAAACACCTAAATCAAATCAACCACCGTCCACTAATCTTATATAGTGGCGGTGGTCGTCCAAGCCACGACTGTCTAATCTAATGTCGTCCGTCTTTTACCTAACTTTGCCTCAAGGCATCCTCCAACTTTTAAACAACTTCCCCAATTTTATTTAACACCATTTGATGGCCCAACCGGAGGCCCATCTGCCTCATTCGTGTCTCATAATATATATATATATATATATTATGTTTGAATACATTGATTAAAGGAAGCATTGGGGAACGAAGAACGCGGAAAACTAAAGAAAATGGGTGGAAAGGCTGAATGTGAAGGTTAATCATAGATGCAAAGGGGACGATTCCAGAAGCTTTACAGCTTGTTTCACAGTATGTATCCCCGTAACCAATTCTATAAAATAATTTTAAATTGTAGGTGAGATAATATTTAATTAATATATTAAATTAATCGAAATCAATTAATGCTCTCCCCTAATTTACATTATCGTTTGACTAACATAAAAACTAATTTCCAATACATTAAGACTTATCAGTAAATAATTTATTTATGGGAAGTTAGGGTCCAATTTTTGTTTTGAGATTCCTACTCTCCTTTATTTGAACTATGAACTTTGTGGTCCGTCAGATTAAACAAACTTCATCATAATTCATCAACATGTCTGCCTCCCCATTTCAAGATTGCAAACCAAGTGTGAGAGAAAAGGCATCACCACCCATCATTACCAAATCTGATGGATGAAAATGACGCATCATTCATCAACATGTCCGCTTGCTGTTGGCCTCTTCCACACCCATGTTTTTGAAATCTTAGCAACGCACACACCCATGTAAACATTGCTATTGCACCGGTTTTTCGCTCTTACGCATCAATCTTCTTATGCCTTTTCTAATCCTTTTCCCCCCTCAATCCATTAAAATTTGACATTTTTTACGTTAATCAGAAAAATGCACTATCATACATTACTATTGTTTATCTTTATTTTAAATAAATGCTATAAGAAAATAATAAATATAATAATTTTATAACAAAATAGAGTAAAATTTCACAAGAAAAATAACATAAAAAATAATAAAATTTTAAATAAGATAAAAAAAATTAAATTTGACTTCAACTCTAACCCATAATATCTATTTATATAGAAACTTTTATCATTAAAAAATATTTAATAGAAATGCATTCAAACTAGATGTTCTATTTTTAATGAATGAGTAATAGTACAAGTATGATTCAATATTAAAAAGAATATGCGCAAGAGACAGAATTTGACATAATCAGATCTTGCTTAGTTCTATGGACGAGAGCTTCAAATTCACTATAAATGTAAATATCACATATAACATACACTCTAAAAGTCACAAAAATAGTTGTATCTTTCCAGAATAATTCTCTCTTATAATTCTAAAACTAACACATACTCCTTGTTTATAGGAAAAAAACAATTTAATCATAAAAAATATTTATCATAGAAGACTTACCTAAATAAATGTAATCACTAAATAATATTCAACCTCTAAAATTACAATAAATTTTAATTTAAGTATCGACTAAATTTTTAATCAATATATAATATCAACCAACACCAATCACACAAATACCACCCAATTTGGTAACGTAACAGTAATAACAAATTAATAAAACTAAAGTAAGCAAAAAATAAATAAATGGAAAACAATTGCAGTCTTTTTCCCACTATTTAGAAAAATTACAGACAAAAGATACAAATACTAGGAATTTACACCTTGAAATAAAACAAAGTCCATTACACCGAAGATTGAAATCAAAAGAAAAAAGAGGGAAGTAAACATAACAATCATCATAGCTTCCCCTGTTACAGTTCACATTGACTGAATTAATTAAAAAACAAAACGAGGATACTCCCTAAAAACCGCATCCATGTCTTTTTTTTTGTCATCATATGTAATATTAAAAGATAAACATTAATAATTTAGATTTAAAAAACAATTTTTAGAGCTTTCAAAAAGAAACATTTTTAGATGATATATCATGAAGTAAAAAAAATTTAGAGTATAAAGTGGTATAGTTGGTTGCATTTTCCATTAAAGTAGTTCCTCATCATTCTGACAGTTAGAAATATCCAAACCAACTCCTGTTCCTGCATTATTACAAATTAAAATTAAAAATATAAATATTATGGAATTTTTATATTAATAAATATTTGACAAGTATCACGGGAAAAAAGTTTGACTTTCACGTGCTAGTAACGTGTATACAAAATCTGCTCCGTTAATTTAGTTCGTAGGCAGTTGAAAACGACAACGTTTCCTTTTCCATATTACCACCTCAGCACTTGATACAGAAAATTTGAAATCAAATTATTAGTTGATTAATTAAAGGTTAATTAAAAGCCATAAACTCTTTTAGCTTCAATGTTTTAGTCCTAATTTTCTCGTGATTATAACTTGAGAAAGAAAAGGGCAACATTGTACTTTAACTACTAATGAATGGCGCTAAAATAGAGGATAGCTGCTGACGCGCCAAAAGTAATTGATGAAAATCCTAGCAGAACAATAAAATTCCGATTATAACCTCGTAAAGGGTAAACGTACCTTAGTTGGCGGGGGGTTTGTATCTTTTTCTGGTTATTGCCTCCAAGTCTGGCTGAAAATGGTCTTCAGTCTATTCTCAGCAAGTCTTTGAAGCGCCTTCTTAGCTCCGGCAACTTCCATTTCCGCCAGACTCTGGATATGCTTATTGGCTCCTGCAGCCACTAGTCTTTTTCTACAACCACCTCTTCCTCCGCCTAACACGGCGGTCAGCACCATCAATGGGTACTTCTTAGAAACGGCCTCATTCTTCGGATCCAACATCTGTACCAATCTCATCACGCTTTTCTCGTCTCTAACCAGATCCTTCCTATTTGACCGGACAGTCAACAGCGAAACAATTGCTTGAACCGCCGCGTCTTGTAACCCAACTGGCTTTGGAGATTCTATTAGCTTTACTAAAGAACCCATACAGCTGGAAATTGCTCGCTTGTTTCCATCGCTAATTGATAATTTTGACAAAAAAGAAGCTGAAATCTGTTGTAAAATCGTGTTACCGTGCTTGATAAATTCACCCAATTGGATAATGAAAACTGTTGAAGATGATAAAGTCCTAGAAATGGAATCTGTAACAGAAAGTGAACTGATTGTACGGAGGACATGCTCAGTCGTCTCTGAACTTAATGAATCTTGAATCACATACGTTAATCTCGGCAACCCTTTTCTTGTATAATCAAAGAGCGAAAATATTCACCTGAAGAAGCGAGTATCGAAAGGCAATTGGCTGCCTTTTCTTGTGCGGCGGTAGTGCCTGAGTCTAATAACTGGACTACAATAGGAACGGCGCCTTCTTCACCAAGAGCCATTCGAATGTCTTCCACGGAAGCCACGTTTCGAAGAGCGCCAACCGCGTGGGTTTGGGTTGGTTGGGAACCAGATCGGCAGGCCTCTATCAAGACGGAGACACCGCCGTACGCTGAAACTGCCCAGGCATTTTCGGGATCGGCGGTGATTGCTTCAACAGCAATGGCGGCCTTTTCTTTTAAAGGAATGGAACCTGTTTCGAGGATTCTTAACAAAGGCCCTAATCCACCTTCTTCAAAGATGATTTTTCTCGAATCTTCGCTT